GCACCAGCAAATGACTTCAATCCAGAGTCTTTTTAAATCTAATATTTCACTTAACCTGATCCAGGTGGAATTTGAGATGTCCAGCTACCATCTTCCCAACAACCCTTCCTCCAGACAAAGGGATGATCAGAGAATGGGCAGTAGTTTGACAAGATGTTAACCCAGAAAAAATATGTTAAGTTGGGGCAGGACTTCTATACACTTTATACACAAGCAGGATACTGCCCTAAGTTAAAATTTCTTAGGTGTCTAAAAAGCAACTGTATAATACAGTATGGTTTTCCTCAGCAAAAAAAGGGTGTTAGGAAAGTCTAGCTGCTCGAGCAAAGGAATGTGTTTTACTCCTGGTTCCGTCATGACTGACTGTATGATTCTGGACAACCCACTTATCTGTGTCTCAGTTTGCCCATCTGTAAAATGGCTAGTGTACTTCCACATCTCATGGCAGAGGGAGAGGTAGCTCAAAACTTAACTAAATGTTTGTAAAATGCTTTAAAGACCATTGGATAGAGGCCCTAAAGAAGTACAAATGGTAACCCAACTATACATGTAAATATAAAACTAAATCACGTATTTTACCCATATGAGATACAGTTTCAATTTCTAAAGATTACTTAAAAGTATTGCTGAAAATTCACATAGAAATGAATGCAGTTAAGAAGTCAATCAGTCTTATTTCTCTAACCTACTATCTATTTATTCAGATCTCAAGTGGTAGAAACAGACCTTGAACATTCAGTGGTGCTTCTAGGACCCTTCACTTTTCTGGTTTGTAGCCCTTACAAACACCCAACTACACACTCCTACCTGGCTTTTTGCAGGTGTTGTTTTCTGACCCTTTTTTATATGGACATGGACAGGGGTGTTTTCATCCACATGAACGTGCAAAGGGGGAGATGAGGAACGGTTCTTCATGGTTCTTCTCCGACAAACGGGAAAGGGCAATACAATGAAAGGAAACCTGTGAATAAGGAAACTGGAAATAATAAAATTTCCCTATGCTCCAGTCAAACTGGACAACTGCCTCTAGCCACCTGTCCCCAGACAGCTACAATTGCTGAGATGGGTCAAGCTATTTAGGCCACAGTTTGAGCTTCCTTTCAGTAGCACCTGCCGTTTTAGATCACATGCAGCTTCGGTGTAAGATCTGGAGTAACTCCATAAGCTTCTATTTACACCATGGCTGAATCTGGCCCTTCATTTTTGTTTGGACAAGGGATGGTACAGACAATGTAAAGACAGCGTTGTATTGGTAGAGGGTGTCTGTAAGAGTCACCAGAGTTCAAGGTCTTAGAGCATGCCAAGGGCTCTGATTAGCAACACCATCTGATTTTGAGCAGAAATTTTACAACAGGGCCATTACTTTGACTAGCAAACTAAAGAATTTGGGAAAACTAAAAGGAATCCATCAGAGGTGCCATACGAGCCTTATCCTGCAAACATTCTTGTGCTTAATTTTAAGCATTCTGAATAGTCCCCTTGATTTCCATGAAACTACTCACAGTTCTTAAAGTTAAACATGTGTAAGTGCTTGCAGGACTGGGGCCTATATTTGTCTCTGCAGGTTATTTCTCATAAATGATGCATGTATTTTATTTCCACATTAATTATCTGCCTAACATGCAATAGCAAGGTATGAAAACACATTCAAAGTAATCAATGCACAGTTTAAGTGTAAAAGTTTCCTTCTTATAAAAGAAAAGTAGCACCACTAACCTGAGTACAGCAAAAAAGAGAGTTACATCATTCCAATCCCAGTTACTTACAGTTAGCATAAGATCATCAGTTTCTTGTGACACTTTTCTCTGTGCTGAGATTGCAGTTCTCTCGTTTTTGATGGAGGGGGGACACCTGATGGCAGAAATACAAAATAGATTACTAATAGGAAAGGATGCTAGTTTCCTTAAGGTTCCCATTCCTTGAGTAGAAAGGTAACATCCTGACTCAAACTTGTTAAATACCTAAAAAACACTCTATAAAAGAGTGTGCCTTAGTGTTCTTTGTACAAAAAATGTTAAAACAAAAAGATTAAAATAAGTACTTTGATTTTCAGGTATGATACACACATTATGCTAGATAATTAATTTTAAGGTGCATCATGTGTAAGACACCTGATTTTGCAGGGTGGATTGGCCATAGAAGAGAAAGTTTTTATTCTTTCTGACCAGTGGTTTGGGACCAGTGCTTACCAGATGTTCCTAATCCTGAAAACAATATGCACTTTCTTTTTCCAAAATGTTTCTAGCCCTGGCATGTCACAAACTATTAGATCTTCAAGTCAGATCATTCTGATCATCATCTTGCAACTCCTGCCCTTGGAGTCTGATAATTTTAGCTACTGCTGTCTCAGGAACTGCTACAAACCAATACTTCCTACTGTCTAAATACTCATAACAACAGCTTTTCAAATGGTATAAAACAGTTTCATATAAGCAAAATAACCATTGCAACTAGCAAAAGACAAAATGCATCGCACTATTGACCCCCTATGCTCATTATTGCAATTTGGTGGGAAAGAGCAGCAAGAAGCGAGGACTACATGGATAAATGGCAGGAAGAAGAAGAATAAATTAACAAAGGTTCTTATAGGTCTGTGGAAATAGGATAGTTTTTCTTAATAGATGATGTTTATTGTGGGTTAAGATAATTTGGAAGCAACACAAATGAAACCAGAAAAAGACACTCATATTACAAAATAAGAGTGTCTACACAGGGAGACACAACAATATTAATATCGCGGTATAGGTACAATTATACCGTTATAGTTCTGCCAATAAATTTTCCCATGCTGATGAACTCTACAAATAGTTTTAGCAACAGTTCAGTATAATTGACATTGTAAAATCTTGCAGCATAAATGTGGTAATATCCAAAGCTATTAGCCAAACGTCAAACAGAGTCCAAATGCTCAGTGATCATCGAAGGTAAATTAACATTGGTAAGATTTCCATCATCATTCTGAAGAGACTGAGATTTTTCAGTCTCATTAAAATGATTAAGTTTGCAGAGTGAAAGTGTCTGTTGAAGAGTAAAGAAAACAACATACCAGAACAGTTTTAGCAAAAATATTTTATAGAGACAGGGGGAAAAAATCCTTCCAGCCTCGGAAGATATGTATTTAGAAACTGAGACAGAGTTTGCTGAAGTGAGAGAATTTCTCCAGCTTCTTGTTAGATAAGTGATTGTAAATACAGCTGGTTTGTTTGGTTATCTCAGTCTTGATAAGTAACTAAACCCTATTAATGGGCAGAAAACCTACATCAACTACAGTGTAAAAGAATGAGGGAATTCAAATCTGAACCTTGAAATACTAAGAGCAATATTAATATTCTCATTAGAGCCAGCACATTCTGTTCTTGCCAGCAAGAACAGATATTTTAGAAGAATAAAGGAGCTTTCCTTGTCCAACAGCAATCACTATTACTAACTCTTGTTACTTTACCTCACAGAATTTCTTTCCTAAAGCCCCAGCTTCTGGAGTCATGTTATTTCATAAGAATCTCTTTTTCACAAGTAAGTTTATCTTGCCCGCATGGTTGCGGAGAAAAGCTTGAAAATAATGAACCCTAAAGGCTCAAAAAAAATAAGACAGCAACGCTGAAGCCTGAAAAAATATTGTAAAGGCTTCCTGACTGTTAAAGCCAATCTCCTGATTTCGGAGCGGGGCGGGGAGTGACACATGTCTGGACTGCCTGGGGAACTTCACAAAGCGAGTCCTTAGGGGGCGGATGGACGAAGTCACAAGGCAAAGGGCACGTCCCAGACACCACAGAAACCCACCCCTGAGAGGCTGATGTGACAGAGCAGCAGCAGCCCGCGGGGTGTGATCCGCTGCAGCGCATGGGATGTGGGGACCCCCGTGCCCCGGCCAGTCCACGCTACCCCGGGGGGCTCGGGGACCCGAGATCCTACTTCAGCCAGCGTCGTCCCCCCCCGGCTCCCCAGCCCCCTCACCATGCGGGGCCGAGCCGGGTTCGGAGCCGCCGCCTCAGGATCTCCTCGAAATTGGCGGCGAGGCGGCGGTAGCTGTTGCTGCCATGGAGAGCCCTGGGCCGGGGCGAGGGGGGACGGGGCAGGGGGCGGCAGCAGCAAGGGCAGGACAAGCAGCAGCTGCAGCGGGACCCGCCGCCGAACTTCCGGGTCCGCTTCTGGGACGCTGCCCGCAGCTCCCCCATTGGGCGATTCAAACCCCCCGTGACCCCGGCTCGCCGCCGCGATTAGCTCCCAAGGCTCGTCGGGGCGTCACAAGAGCCCGCCCTCTTTGGGCGAGCCGGGGCGTGTCACTATGGGAACGCCGGGCAACACGCGAGGGAGGGGGCCGGGCCGGGCCACGGCTGCGCTGAGATGGGGGCGGGGTGGAGATGGGGGCCAGAGGAGGGAAGGGCAGGCGGGAGGAGGCCTAACCCCCACTGACAGGGGAGGAGGGGCGCTGAATCAACTATTCCACAGACCCTAGTATAGGTCAGCTCTGGCAGAGATTCAGCTCATCAACCACCCCCCCTTACCCAGGCAGCAGCAGCCCCGTTCAAAGCTGGTCATATGAAGCCCCACTCTAGGCAATTGCACAGCGTGGGTAGGGGACTGGGCCCCTAGGAGAGCAGCTGAGGTAACCTGCTCTGCCTGGTGACAAAGACTTCTGAGCAAGGCCCCAGGGCAGTTCTGAAGCAGTGATGGCTCATTTACGCATCTGTCACATCCCTGTGTTCTGGCCCCCAGAGTGCCCCTGGGGGCTGGACCATTGTTAAATATTTTTCTCCTGATCCATTTTTTTTTGGTTAACTTTATCAGAGATTTAAAAAAAAAAAAAAAAAAACCCGCTCCCCCCAACTTTTTAATTGATCTAATCCATCTCCCCCTTCATACCCACACATGCTCAAACATTGAAAATTACAGGTTATTTTTCATACAAACACTAAAACAGTGTACTGTTGAACTAGGGTGTAGCTGTACTTAAAGATAGCTAAGTGCAGAAGTGCTTAAATAAATGTAGCCAGCCAGCGTAGCAACAGTTTGTTTTTATTGCAAATACTCTCTTCCTCTCCCACTACTACTCATCCAGTCCACACTAGAATTTGCACTTCATTTTCCTTCTAAAGTATCCGTAGATACAGTAGGTTCTGGACAATAAAACACACCTGTATCACACACTGATACTTATGACTGATAGCAAAAAGCAGTCTTCAACTAACACAAAGTTTCTGCATTGATGACAGATGCCATCTCCACCACTAATTTCCCAGATAACCAGTTTCCTTGAAAAGTGCCCATGATGCCATGGAAAGGATTGTTAGAAGTAGAGAAGAGGGAAATTAAAACCTAGTACCATTCAGAAGATCTCTCACTCTCTGACCTACAGCCAGAAGTGAAAGGATTCCCTGCAACTTAGTTCACCAAGACAGGTACCAACTGGCATTTCCACACTGCACTAGTATTAGCCAGAACTCAGTGAGGAAATACTAGTTCCAAAAAGTTCACACTGTACAACGTAGCTTACAGCAATGGCTCCCACTCCACACAGCAAAGCCTTTGTTGCTCTTGCATTACAAGAAGCATCTAGAGAGCCAGAGGACTGCAAAATTCACTAGCACTCACTTGATAACAACTGATCATATTGAGTATTTCCAGGAACACTTTTCATGTAACTCATGCTAGGAAGCTTTTTTTCAAATAATCATTTTGCAATAATTCTTTCTTCAGTCTAGGTTGTGCTCTCTGGGCCTCTATCTTCTGGTAGACGAGAAACCCTAGATGCCATATACTGCATAGAAAGAGGAACTGAGCCTGTATTATCACTGACAATCCAGAATCACCTGTTGAAATAACAGTTTAAATGGAGATCACCCTGAAGACTGGAAGCACATGGCCTGCAGACAGCAGGATCTTTTCCATCATGCAAAGGGATTCCTTCCTCAGGGCTGCTGATTCACCCATTGCCCTCAGCACTGTACTTACAGGATGCTATTGCAGGTCAAATCTTAATGCCATTTAAGAGTTACACAGTACCTCAAATAGTCAGGAAGACACTCAGGACAACTTGGACAAGAGGAGATACAGCCTGAAGTCAACCCTGGACAGACCTCAAATATTTGCTTTTGCTCCAGGGTCCACTAGCCAGCATTGTGGTTTCTTTTTAACATATACTTAGTATGGGGCTCACCAAGAGAAAGTCAGTTTGCTGCACTCTGCTGTTTAAATCAGAATTTACCCTCCTCTACAATGAGGTCCCAGGTCAGCACCTTTTACATGTTTCTATTATTCTAAATGTCATATTTACTTAACTGTACACACCTGTCCTCTCCTGCTCTCTTGGTCTCACGAAGCCCCTTATTAGCTCTAAGCTGGACAATCCACATGCCTGCACATCAGTCCAGGGGGAAAGGCCAGTGCATTTTATTTTTAAAACAGAAGGTCTTTCCTTTTTAATGTTTTTCTGTGCAAGAATTTTAGTAAGGCGGCTGCAGCAGTTGCCAGTTCGGGACTTCGGCCTCCCCAATAGCCTTCTCCATGCGATGGTACCAAGGTTGAATCTTTGTATGAGTCATCATGTCATCATAGGCTTCCAGCCCTTCCATGACCCGGAGGACCCCATACACTGCCTGTGCCAAGAGAGGAGAGAGAGTTTGGAAATTAACATAGATAACATTAACTCTACATCTAGAATGGATGTAACTTCAGATTTAAGTGTCCCAAAACTCTACTCCCTTCCCGATCACCTATTCCACCCATCTGATTAGCAGAGATTATTGAGACAGTCACAGACATTAGATGGATAAATAGGCAGTGCCTAACAAAATGGGCAAAAATTTTGGGAGATGGAGTAAAATGAAAAGTGATTATAAGATCTGGTACAGTATCCAGCTCCATATAAACTCTTTATGGAGATATTGCTTCAGATTAAAACAAAAACCATTATCATTATTTAGAATGAGAGCTAATGATGCAGGAAATGGTTTAAGATTCAAATCCTGAAGTCTCAGCTATGCATGCTAACTTATGACCCTGTCCACTGATGTCAACAGGGCTCATCTCCAGTTGCAGATGTGGAAGCCTAAACTGCTTTTGTCATTACTGCTTTTGTCATTACTTCAGATTGATAATGTCCTACTTTGGGAAGTCATGATGTTTGTAAGGTATGTGCTTGGAGTATATTTCCCAGTGGAAAGGCGATTGGCTGGCATGCTTTCTACACACACAGCCAATACAGAATGTATGCTCCTGAACTATCTCCATATTGTACAATGGAGTAAACATACTCACCCCGCACCTGTAACACACTTTGACAACACAACTCTCACCTCCCACATAAGACACTCAAATGATATATCTAATACAGACCAAGAGGATATAGTACATATTTTATACATAATCATAGTCACACCTATACCATACTATGTGCATGATGAATGATAAATTAAGTACAGAGACCAAGGGTCTTGACCATTACCAAGTCAGCAAGATTCGGCTGGCTGCCACCCATGAATGGTCTGTGTTTGCCAATAGCTTTTACCCAGTCATTGGCTGCTTTGTACAAATCTTCTCGGACATTATCCTGGAGATGGTGCCTGTGTTAAGAGAAAATATGGTGTCCTCTAACTGGTTCATTTCTCTTTAATTTTCCCCTCTCATTACCCCTTCCCATGGATTGATATATGGCTGGGGACAGGGAATGCACTTCAGAGAGTGAATTGAAAGGCTTGGGTATTTTTAAAGATGACTATGAAGTAACTTGTGTGCATAAGCATCTCTTTCATTCAGAAGGTTAGAGGGCTCAAAGAAGTCCAATAAGTACTTAAAGCTGATTAAGTGGTTAATGAGCTATTTACTGTAGTGGTTAAAGCAAAGGACCAGAATTCTAGAAATCATGGACAGTAATTCTTTCTCAGTCACTAACTAAGTGTGTCACACTAAACAAGTCAAGTCTTGACCATTCCTTGGTTACACCAATTGATAAACTGGATTAAAGAAGGCACTTCTATTGGAAAGACAGCAGAAATCTAAAGGGGAAAGATCCCCTGGTCCTACTACTATTCAAATGGTGAGGGTACAGTGGAACTAGTTCCACTTGCAGTGATCATTCATTCAGTTCATGGGAATAAAATATTACTTCCCAAAAGCCAGTTTCTGATTGTTCTGATCAGTGGAGATTTAAGTTGCACAGATCAAACAAGTATAAATTCCTTTGATATTTTCACAGGTAGAAAAGGATTTTGCACCACTGAATGGCATTCAGCTGTACAAGAACATAACTGATGCTCCCATAAACTGTAATAACTGGAGTGACGTGCCTTGGAGCTAATGTTAAAATTAAAAATGTGTCCTTACAGAAATGGAAATTTTGCTTCTGCATGTCTGATTTGAAAGTTGTTTTGGGTCCACATATAGTGATCATTCAGATACAATGATCAGAATGGAGGGAGTATTCAAACTGACCCTTAGAACAGAACTGCATTTTATTTGCAAGGAAAATGCCTATTAAAATGTGTTTGAGACAGAGTTTTACTGTTTGAAGTTCATGGCTAAGGGTGGTTAAAAACCAACGAGACAAAGACATTCCCTTGCTGTGTGACTGGGTCAGTGGTACCAACCTGCTCTTCAGCCTCTTGCTGATGAAGAACATGGCAACGGCCCCCATGTACTTGGCAAAAAAACCTTCCACGGTGCCAAACTTTCCCTCATGGACAATGTAATTGAAAGAAGCCAGGGCTTCCCTAGGTGTGCGGTAAACATTGGGGGAGATGAGGTGAACAAGCCAGTCATCTGCCCATTTTCGCCACTTCATTTCCTCCCTGTAGACATCCCAAGAAAGTAGTTTAAGTGAACAAGGTGGAAACATTGAATCAGAGGAGGAGGATGCAGATGATATCACAATAACTGTAGCTGGAGCTTCTGCAAAGGATGAGAGTGCAACATAGTTCCCATCCAGTCTGCTCCACTGGTAATATCCCTGAACTGTGGTCAGGAGGGATCCCTCCCCACTGAACTGCTCTAATGCCAAACTCCAGCTGGATGAGACAAACTAAAGCTCTAGATTCACTTTCTATTGTTGCGAGCAGGCTGGATGGCCCATGAGGAATGTGTGTCCCATAATCATGGGTTTTCCCCAACATTAATCAATCCCAAGTGACCCTTCCAGCGAACTCAGGAGCCTAAAGGGACATCACTCTCTGGGAAGAAGGCAGGGAGGAGAGAAAGCAAAGGAGAAAATTAGTGCAATGGTTGAGGCTCGGAATACACCAAAGCGGGGGCGGGGGGATTTTCACATAGAAGTATTACATTTTGCAAGTTAAACAAATAAATTACTTGAAACAAAACTATTCCAGTTATTTATGGGTGTCTGATGTGTATCATGTCAAGAGTAGCATTAGGAGGATTGTGTTCGTGTTCTCCAAGATGATACAGGAGGGGTGCTGTGAAACCAGCTCAGAGACCCCTAGCACATGAAATGCTTACACCCTAGTTTCTTTGATGGGGTACACATGCTGGGTCTCCATTTCATCCAGCATGAGCCAGTATTTGTTCCCATACTCAGTCACCTCCTTGCCCCGCTCATTCACAGCTTTCATAGGAGGATAAAATGACACAATCTCTTCTAAGCTCTTCTTCCTGAGGGGAGAAACACAGTCAGAATCTGCATGGTCTTCTCCACGTGTTACGGAAAAACAGTTGCTATGAGTCCTCTTTTTGGGGCAACAAAACACTGGCTGCTCTAAAAATAGAGACTTCCATAACAAGGCAGCTCAGGGGTTGTAAATCTAAGGACTATCTCTGTGCAGTCTGTATTTTCTCTTTCAGAATTCCTCTCCATCTTGAGGTGCAGTTAGTCATAACAGTGACTGTAAAAAAATTTGATGATTTTAATAGCACTATGGAGCTGATACAGCTGTGGGAGAGCAAACTAGCGCCTACGGCACCATAAGGAAACCAGATTCCAATAGTGGAATATTCTATTACCGTTGATAATGTAAGAGAAAAAGATCGTGGCTAAATTTTTAGGTCTCAGGAGGAGATTGACCGTTACGGGGAAATAAAAAAAAAACAAAAAACCAGCATAGTGAGCAAATATACAATTAAAATACTTGTCCTTCAGTTGTAATTCTTCCCCCACAGCGTAAAAGTAACTTCCACTGGCTTCAGTGCAAATTGTTTGAATCCTGCATGGGGGTGGAAGCAATAATGCCAGTGGACTTTAAAGTCTCACTCCTCCCCCCGCCCCCCCCAGCACCCCTTGACTTTCAAGATCTGAGCAAATTTGATCTGGAATCATGGATAGAACATAAATGTGTCGTTTTTAGAATGGTTTCAGTTTGAAAGTTGACTCTATACATGCCCGTTATACACCTTATTATCCCAGATATATCTTTACTGTAATATGTTGTAGTAACGTTGCAGTGTGTTCATGGATGCAAGACTAAGAGGAAAGTGCACTTAATGTATATGAAAAGAAAACAGTAAAAACACACTGAAGCCACACACATTAAAATGCACTACTATGAAACAGCTTAATGCAAGAAACTAATGAGAGAGAGAGTACAAGTAAGTGTCATTTCAAATAACCCACAGTAAGTATTAACCAGACTCCAGAATAGTCAGCTGCAGCTAACAATGTCTCTCTTATGGTTAAATTTCTATATACTGAGGTTCTCTATATCACAGGGGGGAAAAAAAGGAATAGAAGTACAAGTTGTCCCAGATATAAGATCCCCTCCTTCTCCATTCCCTACTCAAGCTCTTTGTAACCTGGATCTAAAGAACAGGCTACAAGAGCAGCAAGTTGATTTATTTCCAGATATTCTGACTGGCCAACAAAACAAAACAAAAAAATCAGAGGAAGGTTTGATTCATTTCATTTTTGGACTAACTTTTAAGTCTTCTTTGTGCAAAGGCAGAATTCTGAATTAAAAAACACCTGAGCTCTATAACACACACACACACACACACACACAAAAGTGTTCTTGTTTTCCAGTTTGCCTAAGGCAATTCACACTCAACTACATTCTCACTATCCAGTTCTCGTACCTGGAAATGAGATAGGTCTTTATTGCACTGATGATCACTGAAGAGTCATTCAGTTGCTGCAAAATAGAATGAAAATAAATTTAAAAAGAGATGCTGATGGAGCTAAGGAGGAGGAGCTCATAAGAAGCTCTGCCAATTGAACCCCTTTGGGGCTTAAGTAGTCCCCAAGTCCCTTCTTCCCTAATCTTCCGTTTATTTCCATAGGCAAATCTGCTATACTACAGCCGTATATCTATTATTCTGCTTGTTCTAGACAGGCCAACAGTGGAAACCAAAGTGGGTTTCAGTCTGAGCCATTGGCATTCCAGGGGGCAAACCAGCATGGTAAGAAAATATACGGTTAAAACACTTGTCCTTGGGTCATAATTCTTCCACCACAGAGTACAAGTAACACCCACTGACTTCTGTACAAATTGTTTGAATCCTGCATGGGGGTGGGAAGAATAAGACCAGTGGACTTTAAAGTCTCACCTTCCCCCAAACTCCCTAGCAGCAGCATAGCTTGTCACTGCTAGGGAACATTGGGCGTTGTGAGTGTTCGGCAAAATAAGAGTGAGGCTAAGGAAGAGGTAGCTAAGTATACAGCCATAAAATGAGGAACAGGATGCTAAGCAACCTTGGAAATAAAGTAGGCTACACCCGCACTTGGCTAGTGACCCAGTGCTAGATGTAAACCCAAGAACCATGGTTATTTGAGAAGCAGAGACTCACCAGAGTGTTTCCAGCGTTGGCTAAAAGGATGGGCACCTTTCTGTAGGAGGAGAATTTGATCTCCTTCCTCATTACCGGGTTCACTTCCACAATTTCATAAGGCACCCCATGGTAATCAAGAAAGGCTCGAACCTTACTGCAGAACGGGCAGGTTTTGTATTGGTACAGGGTCAACTGCAGGCTACCTGCAGGGAGCTGAGGGAGGAAAATGCCAGAAGTTTCTATGTTCAATTCAAATATCACCTCCTCCCCCAATCAATTTATGTTTATTTTAAATTGCTGTTGCTGATATTTGGTGTTCAGATTATAATCTAGTCATCCAAATCAAAGCTCACACCTCTGGTTAACCAACATTTTCTTCCAATGACGTCATAAATACTTAACTTTTTTGTATAATGAATATCTAATTTTTTAAATATCCCCTTATCCCTTTGTAGTAACTCCGATCTCTTATGAATATATGGTTTTGCCAACTGAATCCTATAGGTTAGGGACCAAGTCATCATAAGAATGACATTCACAACTCTGCTTTCTACACAAAAATCCAACCATCCAGCCTAAGAAAATTAAACAAAATTAACCTTAAAAAACAAAAAGTAACCCCCCCAAAAGTAATAAAATCCACAAAAATCAAAACCAAACCCATCCCCCACGCACAGTTTTTATGCTGCGAAGGGAGAGGTGTCAGAGATTCCATGAAGTCCACTAGAGACTTTGCTATTATCTATTTTACGTGGAAGATGCTCAAATACTACAGCAACGGACAGCAGTACAAAACCCTACCTTCAACATTTTATAAAAAAAATACCAGTGACTTATGCCAGGAAGCAATGGCTTTTTTTTGGGGAACAGTGGTTGCAAGGTATTGGTTGAGAACATATAAACACAGAATCTGATCTTGCATTGTTTGCACACCAGACCTTCACTGAGAATGCTGGGTGCACAAGGAATAAAGCATCAGTATTAGGCACAATGCAATTACACAACAGACATTTAACGTGCCTTGCTTATTATTCATACATTATAAAACACATGCCACCATTTTACCTTGTTTCTCACTTCCACAATCCCTCAGGGTATTTGCAGGAAGTCATTAGTTGATGGAAAGCCCGATGTAAGTGTACAGAATTGTTGTTTTCCCTGTCACTTGACAACTACTTTTTGCTTTTTTTATTAATTAAAAGCAATTTTTATAGTTACTCAAAGAAGATAATGTTGGGTAGTTTAGGCCTTTAGATTTTAATACTTTAAATGTTATTTCCTAATAACATCTAATATTAAGGAGGTGTGTGTGTTTCAATCAATAGAAAAAGCCTGCTATGTGTATTTAAACCTTCTCTTGAAGGGTTTGCCACCCCCAAATACTGCAGCATTACGCTAGTGTATGAGAACCAGAAAGCGAACAGACTAAAAGCAAAATTGAAACTAACAAGACTATTTTCTTTCTATTGACTAAAGTTAGGTATGTGTGTATGTCTTGCAGGATCAGGATCTATAAGTGTTTAGTTTTAATACACAGGAGTTATTAGTAAAATTGGTAGACATTATTTGTTTAGGATATTGTAACCTGATGGCATCACTTGTATATTCTAGATCACTTACCATGTAATTCATCCATAGGCATGGAAAACATTAATTAGCTAATTATTTTTATTATTAACTTTATTATTATTTTTAAAGTAGCAATTAGCCTATCCAGCAAAAACTACAAAAGGATTTGCAGACAGTAAATAGAAAAAGCAGCCACAGATCATTTGAGAGACTTTTGTAGCCTTTTAATCTGGAGACTAGGCTAAAATACTATCTGAAAATGAACAAAAATAGAAACGTCATATAGAAGAGAAAATCTGTGAGGGGGTGAGGAAAAAAACAATTTCAAGGTTCTTCCTGCCACCCCCTTAAGATTTCATTAAGCCAAGATCTCAGTGTGCACCCCAAAAATGGAAGATATTTGGGAGGCAATATAATTGCACGGGAAGGACCATCATTTCAGAATCATTTGTAAGTGGGGGATGGGAAAGCACCATGGGGCCCGGTGTTCCTTAGGGATTGCAAGGAGCTTCCGGATTTCCTGCAGTACTCTTAAAAGTGGGGGAAGTGGGAGGTTACCTTGGCTGCCTGCTGCTCTGCAAGGTGCTCCTGGGCCTTCAGGGGATACTGGAGAGTCTGGAAGAGGCCAAAGGTGCCCCCCAGGGCAAAAGCAGCCCCCACCAGCATGCGGCTGCCCTTCCGTGCCCGGCCCCGTGCATAGCGTCCTGTCCCAAAGGGGATACAGTACCCCCTGCTCTGGGCCCGCAGGAGCCCCACCCCAGCCGCCTGGCCAGCAGCCCTCAGTCTCCACGGGAGCAGCCCAAGGCACCTCCAGCCACTGCAGGCTGCTGCCATCTTCGCTCCACAAGGTGGGCGGGGGAACAGTGCGGGAGGGCCTCTACACCCAGCACCAGAGGCTTTAAACCAGAGCAGAGGAGGCCTTGAGGATAGAGCGCCTCTGCTGGGCTTGTGTTTTGATTGGTTGGTTTGTTTGCTGCGGCATCATTTCTTCCCAAAGGCAGTACTGCACAGGGGCCAGCATCCCCATACAGAACTGGGGACGGGTGGGAAGCAAGCCCGGCGCCACCAGGGGAGAGAACGTTTGCCTCCCCAAATGATTTTCAAGCCCCCCACCCCATCATTGCCAGAAAAGCCGAAATATGTACAAAGTTATACAATGTTAAGCAATGAGCAGATGGAAGAGATTTCATTTGTTAGATAACTTATAGAATCACAGAGAAATGCTAACTCAGTAGCCACAATTTCTTTTTAAACTCTTAAAAGTCCAAGTATTTCTAAGGGACTAATTTCTAAGGGCTCCAAAATATCCATTTGCCCCTCCAGTAATGGGAGCCTAGAATTACCCTGGTCGGAAATGGTTATAAATGGCACAGGTGGGTTGAAAAAATAATCACACTGGTAGCAGATTTCAGAGTAGCAGCCCTGTTAGTCTGTATCCACAAAAAGAAAAGGAGGACTTGTGGCACCTCAGAGACTTAACAAATTTATTTGAGCATAAGCTTTCGTGAGCTAGAGCTCACTTCATCAGATGCATTCCTGTAGCAGAGAATGTAACATTCAATGTAATAACCTATGCTAGGATGACAAGTGCTATAAAATCCTGCTAGGTTGGATCAGGTGCTATCAAACATTTTCATAGTGTGGAATATATCTTAATACTGAGAGTGTCTCATGAACACCTCCTTTCCTGATGCAATTAGTGTTTTTTCCTTTTGAAAAAAAAAAAGAATCAAACCCACCACCTGCTTTTACTCTTAATTTTATCTGCTCCTCCCATGTTTGTTATTAATCTCTCTCACTGACACATGCTCACTCCTCTGCTGTCTAGACCCTGTTCTTTCCCACCTGCATAGGGTTCCCTAACAGTTGGTTTCTTGCTCCTCTGGCTATGCTGTCCAGCCACCAACTCCTTTTCTTTGCTTAGCTCTCCTGAAAATATTACCTAGCTGCCATATGGATTACAACTCTAATCCCACTGATATCTCCAGTCCCTGAGTGGTAGTGCTCATTTCCTCTCATTCTCTATTTATGTAATAGCTGCTCTCGGCAAAAGTTTATTGTTTAATGTTTATTCCTTGTTTCCAGCTTCTTTTACAGGTGGCTTTTCACTGTAGTGAAGAGTGTGGACACCTGTAGCAGCAGTTGGAAACAAGGAGAGCCAGCACCATGTGACCAGTCAGATCTTTGAGAATTATCAGCAAGTGTTCTTCAGCCAACATATTGGGAACCCCTGGATTAGATCATTTTAAATATTATTTAAATCACAGAATTTGCTGAATCATTAGCAAAAACTCCAAGACATTATTCAGCTCATACAAAGAGTGCAGTCTGGCCAGTTATTTTTCCAAGTATTAGAACTCATACCTCTCAGCTACATACATAGTGGGCCCAATTCCATCCTTCATGCAAATTACACTAAGGATTAATTTTGCTCACAATGTGTCATGTGAATATTGAATGCCATGCTTGGGAACAGAGCTAGATGATTAGGTAAAATCTCAAATAGTCTATGACTTTATGGTAACATTCCAAATCAATAAATAATTACAATTAAAATTCCATCTTTGTAAATTGCTTTAGAATCACAGGGTGAAACGCAAGAACAAAATATTCAGAGTATCTAGTAGTTGTCATACTAGCAAAGTCAGATTTATAGTTATCTGGCTTTTGCCATGATGGATAATTAAACCTCAGCACTTCATAAAGATGTTAAAACATACAATAGGAATAAAAAATAATAGTCATAGTTTCCACTTCTATAGTGCCTCTTATGCAAGGATCTCAAAGACAACTACTGACATTAGTTACATAAGCCTACTTAATTGTGAAATTGTATTCCACCATACAATAGGAAGACCTATAACCTCATGCTTCAGGGCAATTAACTTTTGTCACTTATGCTTGGTTATGCCCATACTATTATATTGATGAGCATAACTGTGTTAGGGCATAGGATGGGGCCCTAACCCAGCAGAATGTAGTCAGCTTATAGTAAGGAAAGATACAGAATGTATTGTGATGTTGAGGATATGACCCTTCATTCCTTGTGCATTGAAAATTCCATCTCAATTGGAATTCAAAAACTCTTCAAATCAGTCTTTGCCCAGGTTCAGCTCAGGGACACACTGATGCCCTAATTGCAAGTTATTTTCATCTCTAAAGATATATCCTATAAAATGGAAGAAATGATATAATGATATGATTTCCCAGGAGAGGTGAAACATATGACTAATATCAAGTCTAAAAAAAGAAATCTTAGTTATAAAAAAAGGCAGAGAAAATTGTGTTCACTGTCCTAGGGAAAGAGGAAATTTGAAAGTGACCTACTAACTTCGGTTACAATTATTAAGAGGAAAAATCAAAAACAGCTGAAACAAACTTTATTCTGTTAAATACAATTAAGCTAAATTAAACAACCATTAACTAAAACTGGATAGATTAAAACAGGAAGGGACTATGCTCTAGTGGCAAAAGCAGAAGTCTGGGTATCAAGAATCCTGGGGGTTTAGCCCTGGCTGCGTCACTGACTCAATGTGTGATTCTGGGCAAATTACTTAACCAACCATCCTCTGTCTGACCATATGTAAAATTACCTCACAGGAGCTAATGAATGTTTACAAAGTGCTTTAAGAGCTCCAGAAATAAAGGCTCTATACAGGTGAACATATCTCTTGAGAACATCCCATAAACATATTTCCATATTTCATGCATCCGATGAAGTGAGCTGTAGCTCACGAAAGCTTATGCTCAAATAAATTGGTTAGTCTCTAAGGTGCCACAAGTACTCCTTTTCTTTTTCCTGAGAACAGTCTACAAAGAATAAATATACATGTAATAAACTGAGATAATTAGTATGGATGGAATAAGGTTTAAGAGAAAACCACTGTAGAAGGGGAAAACAAAGCAAAGCTATGTGAATAATTTATTCAACACATTTTCTGTTCTCAAAGTGGTCTGTGAGTAGCTGATAGATTAGTTTCAGAGTAACAGCCGTGTTAGTCTGTATTCGCAAAAAGACTCCTTTTCTTTTTGCTGATAGATTAGTTCACTTTATTGATTTAAATTTATTTGCTGGATCATTTCTGTGAATAACTTCTGATCAGCAGATTTTTCTCGAGCAGCTGTCAGCCAAAATGCTTAACGGTGGTGCTTAGTTTTGACGGGGACACCCAAGCCTAAACTCTGATTGGATGATTGTGGCTCGTAGAGCCAGCTTGGCTGTGAGTCTTCATACTCCCAAGGTCACATTGGGTTTCTGCAGATACTCTTCTGAGTTCGCTGAATATTTTTTGCACCCATATAAAATCCTGCCAGCAAATCCCTCTGCGATGACTGCAGAGAGTGAGCACAAAGAGGTAGGAACATAAGCGTCCAGGGAGGTTGGAGGTGGGATCCCGCCTCTCTGTAGGCAGAGGCCCCCCGCAACTATAAAGTCTATTTGCTTGGCTGCCCCTCGCCCGCCCCCGCCGCTTGGTCAGGCCCTCTTTTCCCATAACTATAGACTTTACCCCTGGGGCGGGGCTGGGAAGGATATGACCCCACACGGCGTCCCTAGGATCCTGGCTGAAGTTTCCGAGTGGCTAGCTCAACCCAAGCCCCGCCTTTTTCTGGGTCAGGGGCGGGACTTTCCGCCGTTCCATCCGGGAAGGGGCGGGGCTTTCCTATGTCTCGGAATCCAGCCGCGACCTGGGTACTGTCTGGCGGCGGGACTTGGTGGCGGCATGTCGGGGCCGAACGGGGAGCCGCAGGTGCCTGCGGGAAACGCCGGGCACGGCGAGGAGGGGGACGATGACGGCTTCGGGGATACCGGTAAGAGAAGAGCGGCCGGGACCCCGCCCAGCGTCCCCCCGCCCGGGGCGGGGAGCCGCGGACCCCCGCCCTGCTCTGAGCGCCCTGGGGCAGGGAGCCAGGCTCCCCCTCCCCAAACTTTCCTTGCTCCTAGCATCCCATTGCCTGGGGAGAGCCCTGGACACCCTCCCTCCCCAATCCCCTGCTCCAAGCATACCCCCCCTTCCTAGATAAACCACAGACCCCCCAGCAGGCTTGCTCCCAGCACACAGCCGTTTGGTTAATAATGATCAGATACTCAACACAACTAATATGAAGGAGAGGGAAGGATTGCAAGCCAAAATAGGGAAATTACAGTTTAAAGAGTATTGAGATGTATTCAAGTCAGCAGGGTCTGATGAAATTCATACTAGGGCATTTAAGGAACTAGCTAAAGCAATATTCAAACCCTTCACAATTATCTTTGAGAACTCCTAGAGCACAGGTGAGGTCCCAGAAGATTGGAGAAGGGCAAACATAGCACTTATCTTTAAAAAAGGGGACCTGGGGAATTATATCCCAGTCAGTGCAACTCTGATACTTGGAAAGATATTGGGCTATAAAGAATAGCCAGCATGGATTTGTTAGGGACAAATCCTGCCAAACCAACCTACTCCTCTTCTGGAATGGAGTATCTGGTGGGGCCCTGCAGGGGTCAGTCTTGGGTCTGATGGTATTAAATATTTTCATTAATGACTTAGATAATGGAGTGGAAGGTATGCTTATAAAATTTTCAGATGAACAACAAACTGGGAGGGGCTGCTAGCACTTTGGAGGGCAGGATTGGAATTCAAAATGATCTTAACAAATGGGAGAATTGGTCTGAATTCAACAAGAAGAAATTCAATAATAATAAATGCAAAGTACTTCACTTAGGAAGAAGAAAAATCAAATGCACAACTACAAAATGGGGACTAACTGACTAGGTGGTGGTACTGCTGAAAAGAATCTGGGGGTTATAGTGGATCACAAATGGAGTATGAGTCAACAATGTGATGCAGCTGCAAAAATAGCTGCTATCATTCTGGGGTATCTTAACAGAACTCCTATATAACACACAGGAAATAACTGTCCTGCTCTATTCAGCTCTGGTGAGACCTCAGCTGGAGTGCTGTGTCCAGTTCTGGGCCCCACACTTCTGCAACAATGTGGACAAACTGGAGAGATTCCAGAGACGAGCAACAAAAATGATAAAAGCCTTAAAAAAACCTGACCTATGAGGAAAGGTGATTGTTTGTTTGTTTTTTAATTTAAATGGGGCATGTTTAGTCTTAAGAAAAGAAGGCTGAGGGTAGAATTAAGTCTTTGAATATGTTAAGGGTTGATATAAAGAGACTGGTGATCAACTCTTCTCCTATCTACTAAAGATAGGACAAGAAATAATGGGCTTAATTTGAAGCAAGGGAAAATTAGGTTAGATATTAAGAAAAACTTCTGAACTAGAAGTGTTGTTAAGATCTGGAATAAGGTAGGTTGTGGAATCACCATCATTGGACAAACACCTGTCAGGGATAGTTTAGATCGGGGTAGGCAACCTATGGCAGGTGTGCCAAGGCAGCACGTGAGCTGATTTTCAGTGGCATTCACACTGCCCAGGTCCTGGCCACCAGTCCGGGGGGCTCTGCATTTTAATTGAAGCTTCTTAAACATTTTTAAAACCTTATTTACTTTACATACAACAATAATTTAGTTATATATTATAGACTTATAGAAAGAGACCTAAAAATGTTAAAATGTATTACTGGCATGCAAAAACCTTAAATTAGAGTGAATAAATGAAGACTCGGCACACCACTTCTGAAGAGTTGCCAACCCCTGGTTTAGATTTAATTAGTGCTGCCATAGTGCAGGAGGCTGGACCTGATGACTTCTCAAGGTCCCTTCCAGCCCTACATTTCTATGATTTTATAAGACTAAACCACCCAACACCCTCATTTGGTGCCTTCTAACAAAATCTAAGAGCTCCTTTCCTGAAAAAATCCTTGAGGATTTCTAGGATTAAAAAGGCCTTTCATCATACTGTTCTGGGAAGTGACAGTACAACTACTAGTTACTAGCCAGGAAGGGAATATCATGTTTTAGACCTTCCTCTCCCTCCTGATGAAAAAGGGATGCTTAACTACATAGTCTCCTATGACAATTCCTTTGGGAATTTGAGCTTTATGGACTATCACCTGCCTTGAGATCCTTTCTGCTGGGTCCACTTGAGCTGTCCGTCCAATTTAGAATTAGATTCTGAAGATGTCAAGGGTGTTTCCTCATGAAATCACTCAGATCCTTAGAAGCTGATTCTTTTGTTACTGGGAATCTCTATAGTTGAATTTCAATGGGAAGTCCTGAGATATGATGAGTTTGCTAAATAATCTATTACATCTCTTAACCTGTCCCGCAAAGCTCTCCCAGTTTGGAAGCAGGGACTGCACTATTTTCTAACCCTGTGCATTCCAGTCTCGGGAAGTCACTTCACAACTTTAATTTAGAATGTAATATCAGAATTAAGGTATAGCATTAATCGCTTTCAGCGGTGGCATGTGCTATTGTAGGACTTCCCACACTGACTTCTAAAAGATTTTGGGAGAACCAGTACTTGTGTTCAGGGTCTTGGTACCTGAAAACAGCTTCACTATCAGATCCTCTTATTTCTCTCCCCCACATGCTTCTGATGTCTGAGTGCAAGCGGCAGAGAAGTCCCTTTCAGACTGTGGTCTGTTCTAAACAATGCTGTTTGAGGACTGGTTGTTGCTGTCCCTTGCTGTGTTCAGCGGAACAGGTCTAGTGATTTAAACATTAAAAATATTCTCTTCCCATGCAAGCTCAGGTTGACCTTGTGTGTGAAGTGAAATCTGTGGCTCCTCCTGAGAATTGGATTAGATAATTTTCTCTGCAGATGTACATGAAAATCACATTTTTCCTTTTACTTAGGGCTTGATGTGAGTGCTTTTCCTCCTTCCCCGTGCAAGCAGCAGCATCGCAAGTAGGTTTGAATGGCCTTTTGGACCTAGTTTATGCTGGTTGTATGGCATGATACATAGATCCTGCAGGGTGGTTTACAATGAATCCTTGCTTCCTAGGGTAGTGTGTTAAATGGTAAAGCAAGACCTATGTGGTCTCTGCACTGGGTCAACAACTTCAGAAATTAAGGGGATAAGTGCTGTTCATGGAAATCAGAACTGGTCCACATTCATCCCTCTGGCTACTTTTCCCCTTAGGACCTTATGAGATGTTCCTATTCAGCTCATTCAAAAGGGCTTCACTTTATTGCACCTTTCTCCTCTCCTCCTACCACATCAGCAGCTGTGATGTTCTGGAACTCTTTCCAGATTCTTATGTGCCAGGTCCTAGGGTGGCAGCTCTGGAGGTTACACTCTGTGCTGTACCCTTTGTGGTAAGCTTCTCAGCAGCACCCTTTCAAGGTGTCTGTACCCTGATTAGGCAAGGCCACCTCTAGGGAGGGTGAAGAGATTAATTCACCCTTTTTCTATTCAGCCCTCTTGCAATGTGGATCCCTGTCTAGTGGAAGCTGGCCAGAGCCCAACCACTTACTTGAGAGATTACCAAACAGCTGTCAGATGGCAATTTCCTGCCTGGTCTGTGGCACAGAGGTAAAACATCCTAGATCACATGACCAATCCCCTGAACTATCGTTTCCCACAGACCTAGTTTCACTAGTAGATGTGATGTACCATGATACAAAGAGGATGCAGTTGAGATAGAGGACTTGCCCTCTATGTTCTGAGGTATATTTGCAAGAGGCCTTGCTGCCTGATACCTTCTTAGAATGAGTGGTGGTAGTACAAGAATTTAAATTATTCAGGGTATTTTTTTGTTCTCCTTCCTTTAGAATATGCAGCAATAAACTCCATGCTGGACCAGATCAACTCCTGTTTGGATCACCTGGAGGAGAAGAATGACCATCTGCATGCCCGCTTGAAGGAGCTGCTGGAATCCAACCGTCAGACACGTCTGGAGTTCCAGCAGCAGCTGAGTGAAGGGCAGAACCTGCAGACTGATGTGCAGGGACCACACATGGACATCTAGTTCCTGCTCTTTGCTGGACACACACTGTCATAGTTTTTACTTCCAATGGGACCTCCGCTGTCTGGTTTAATGTAAAACTTGACTAGAAAAGTACTTGCTGTTGTGCATTCCCTCCAGTGGTTAAATGTTCTGCCCTTCTCTGTGTTGTCTTGTTTTCTCTTGGTGACTGATGCTACATCAGCAAATAGGTGGGTAAGGGGAGAGATGTGGAGTCAAAACTTCCACCTCCCAAATGTAGCTCCAGTTCTGAGCTGACAGTGACACCATTAGAAGTGGATATGAGAAGCCTCTCCTGCAAGTATGGGCATTCATGTATAGGCCCCTTTTGCCACAATTCAACTACAAAGGAAAGTGGTGGCTGTTCTGAGGACTGTCTACCTCATAGACTCCTTTCCCCCAGTAAACTGGGCTTCTAAACCTTACAGCTCTGGAGATCCATACCAAATGGTGGTGCCATTCTGGGCCCAGACTTGCTCTGTGTTAACAGGCTTCTTCTGGGGCTTAAATCATCTGGTTTCTTCTACACTGTAGCTGCAGTCTCCCTGCAGTCTGCACTTCAGTTAAGCTTACAGAAGTTCTATGATGAGAAACATTGGCTAAATGACAGGACTCCAGTCCAATATTCCCCCTTCCAAACCCCTGTAGTGTAAGCTACCCTCATGCTCTACTTAAGGGAGAGTAAAGAGCAGCTGAGTAACTCCTTAAACCAATTCTAGAGACTCCACAGTGGCTTCTGAGAGGTATTACCATAGAGCAGCCTAATCTGCTCCCCTTGTGGTGTCACAGCCTCAGTGTGAGAGAGGGTAGGGGAGGCTTGCCCAGCAATGCTGTCGTGCCGTCCTTCCTGAATGTCTGGGAGATAAAAACATGGTTGTAAGACTGCATGACCACTAAGTCTGTGAAACTGCTTTGATTGTGTCTGTGGCTTCTCACGTCAAGGCCTACCATTGTGAAGTGACTGTCAATATGTACAGTTTAGAGATAGTATTTATAAATAAACTTTTAGTCATCTTAAACTGAATGTCCTCCTGGAAGCATTTGAGGCAGCCTTGCTTTAAGTGCTGAGAGATCAAATGCCTGAGCTTCTTTCATGTTCTAGTCTAAAACTGGGTCCTGAGTGAGCCTGTGGCCTAGTGCATTGGCTTGATTCCATGGGAAAATATTCTGTGAAAGTGCATAAATTGTGTTCATAGGGGGTTGACTCATCTCCCAGCAGTAGAATTCCCTTTGTTTCTTTCTGCTCACATCAGTATCATCAGGCTTATGACCTGGGAAAAGGGAACCCCCTTAGCACAGAAGGCAGTAGATAACTAGTACAGTGAGAAGTCTCAGTCTTGCAGCAGGCTTTGCCAGTTCAAGCAGTGAGTGTTAGCTTTAGGAAGGTCAGCTTCAGCAACCCTTTCAGGTTTAACGGAGCTTTGGCTCTCCCAAGGATCTCTATCACAGCCCAGCTGTATAAACAACACCCAGTGCCATCCTCTATTAGACACGCTAAAGCCAGGCTTTATTTTTTAAAATAAAAACAGCAGTAAAGTAGAAGGCTTTTTGCTCTATTAAAGGACTCTGAAAATAAACATTTCCAGCAAATATTGTATGCAAAGGGCTCTCCCTTTAAAGCTGTTCTATCTGGGTTTGCGTCTAGCAGAGCGTCTACACCCTGCTGGGGTTAGATTTGCTGCTTCTCCTTTGCCTGGAGAGCAGGTATCTGCCTCCTTCTCTCTGATGCTTGCTGCCCCCTGTTCAGAATCCCCTTCACTCATTGGGTACAGGGGTTTGTCTGTGCCATCCCTTTGCCTGGTTTCATCACTTTCCTCTTCCTTACACATACTGTGGCCCAGCAACTCCCCTGTGGCACTGTCTTCATCTAGGAGCAGGCAGTCTTCACTAGTGGTGGGGGACTTGCTACCCTCATCCTGACTTCCTTCCTCCTCTATGACCAGCGCTCCACATACATCAGTCTCACTGGCTGGGCTTTCACCCCTTCTCACAGGGGGGACCAGCTCACTTTTATTCTCTAGAGACCTAGAGGTTTGTTCCTTTAATGGCAAAAATTCTGTATCTTCCTCTCCTATGCCACGATTGGTATTCATTGTCTCCGCTTCATCCTCTGTCTTAGCAGGAGGCTGCTGCTGCTCATCCGATGACTGGAAGCCAGAGCCATGGGAGCACAAAGAGGCCTCTGAGTGTGCTGCTGTGGCACGGTGCCTTCCTGCCTTGTATCTCTGTGCAAAGGAAAAACATGTGAGCAATAACTGGACTGAGACATTACAGGACGTTTTTAGCTGGTCCAGGAGAAACCTGCACAAAGACAGTAGTGAGTGACAGACTGCAATGGCTGGCCTAATCTCCAAACAAAGCACACATCTACAGCTCTCTTGGGTGGGCTGCTGAGGGAAGGAGTTCAAGCTCCTAGCAAAAAGTGATGGTATTAAGGTTTTATTCCCTCTTGCATGTGCTAATGTGGCAGGATTAGGTAGAATGAGGCTGGGGATACAGAGCTAGAACCAGACTTTGATCGTTGTTCATCTTGATTGGAGATGATAGATCTCAATAGCCCTGTTGAATGTAAGTGAAAGCAAGAAAACTCTCATCCCAACTATTGACTGAATCTAGCTGTGGGGGTGGGCAGGAGACATGTAGTCTCACCCTCCTGATACAAGACTAGTGGTTGCTTGCACTCCTTACAGGCATCTTAAAGGGGAATAACTAGATTAACAAATTTTGCAGCAGCTAAACACAATGAAATGATGTTTCCTTTTGCACTTTGCTCATCTAAGCAATGCACATTTACTTTCTGCTTCTTTGGCAAGAGCTTCAAGGTTGGAGGGGGAAGTCTCTTCAGTAAAACCACATTTAAGGGGATGTTTCTAGGAGAGTATTTTTAGTAGTAAGTGTCCCCACTTGCAAGAGTGCTCCAACATTCACTAGATAATGCTGATATAGGGCCTAAATTCACTGTCAGCATGACAATTTATTTGATAGGTTCCTAAACTGAGACCTCCAAGGAGAGATCAACAAGGAGGTTAAAATTGTCATTGCAACTTCAGAAAAATAGTACACAAGAGCCGCATGGAGCCAGCCTACAGAAGTATAACCATGGGATCCTAAGGCACAAGGGGATTTTCTCCAGTGTGTTAATCAGGCTGAAGGCCTTTACTTAGCAAGGTGGTGATCAAGACTTCTAGAAAGACTATGGCACTAAGTAAACAGCATGGGGCTCCTTCTCTTCCACAGAAATAGGAAAGTGATTGGTGATGCTAAACTTAAGCCCTGGAACAAGGGGCTTGTACTGAACCCAACAGTTTAACTGGACTATTCTATTCAGGTTCTTTTACTGTATCAGCATGTTATCTGAACTGCACTATGGTACTTGGCCATTGAAGGGGCTGCAATATTAGCCATTTGGTACTGAGGACAAAAGGTAAGTCCGCCCTGTGATCTTTCCTGGCTCCTAGAGAGTGAGTACAACTCTTATCACTCTTCAAATAGAGCTCTATGCAGCTCCTGCTTTTGGGGGCACAGAACAGAAGCAGCAGGAGGCTCAGTAAGTCCTAATCTTTTAGGTTAGCTGTTCCAAGAGTTTGTCCCTGCTCACGCTCCTGGTGCATGAGGAAGAGAGCCCATTCTGCACAGGGAGAAACAGGTAAAAGGCCAAGCTGTCAACTGGGTAGACAGACACTTATGTGAAATGTTTAGTTGCACTGACAGACAAACATCTCATGCACTCAAAGCAAACTGAATACTTACTCAGCACCAGAGTTATTCTGATCAGCACCCTGCTGCTGCAAGCCTGATGGCACTTTTGTCTACGCCACAGAGTTGCGTGAGTTTAATTTTTAATTGATTAAGTTAAAGTGGTGCAAACCCCTCTGTGGACCCTTTGTCTGTTCCAAAATGATTTAAAATAAACCAGAATAGAGCAGTTTAAACCAGGTTAAGGACATGGCTACACTGGAAACTTCAAAGCTTGTGAGCACTGGGAGAGAGGGCTCTTGGTAATCCACCTCCACAAGGGGAGTAGCTCAGAGCACTGGGAGCCCAGCTCCCAGCGCTTGGAGCCTGTTTACACTAGTGCTTTAAAGCGCTCCAACTTGATGCGCTCGGGGGGGTGATTTTTCAAGTTAGAGCACTATAAAATGCTTTGTGGACACTTAAGGCTTGGCTACACTTACATTACATACTGGTGTAACTAAATCAGTTTAAAAGTCACATCTTAAACTGGGGCAATTCTTGTTGATCAAGTGCAAGGTAGCTGTTTCCAGATTGGTGCACTGGACTGCCTCAGATGGAAGCTGCTAAGAAGCCTCCAGTATGTCATTCTGGCCAGAAGTGCTATTCACCCCACTTGAAAGACACTAGAAGGCATTTAATGCCAAGACCATGACAGTCCTTAGACCTCTAACCAGCAGTATATGCACAGTCCAGGGAGTAACTGCTTCCAGCTGAGATCACAAGACTCAAAAGGGAAGGGGGCTAGTAATACACCGAGACTAGCCTTAAATATCTGTAGAAGGCCAACTCCTCCAAGTCACACCTGGACTCAGCTATTTCCAACCACTTCATGAAACATTAATGAATTAACCCTCATGGTAGCCCTTGAGGCCATCCTCACTATTTTACAGATAGGAAGGGAGAGACTAAGTGACCTCCTTAAAGTAACACAGCAACTCACTGCCAGACAAGACGAAATCTGACTCCTAGTCCCCTAACTACTAGACAACTTCCTTCCTGCTACCCCAAAGGGTGGAAACACTAGCATCTCCCCTGGTTCTAAAGGTGAAGGGGAGGAACACTCACTGCTGCTATGCAGACTCATTTTTAACAAGCTGAAAGGGAACGTAACTAAGTTATTCAGATCAACGTACTGAAGCAGAACAGGGACAAGGGGGACTGATTCTTTCATTCTGGAAGTGATCTGTCTAGGGAATGGGTGACCCAGAGGAGTAGCTGCAGCTTCACCTGCTGCAAAGATTTTAAGAACTGCCAGTGCACATGGGACACTGTTTCCCCCAGCTCTTGGTAAAGGTAACAGGGATAGCAAGGGGATTGTTAACTCCTTTGCCAGGTTAGTCAAAGGTTAACCTGTCTGAAGACTAGCAGAAAAGCTCCACAGAACACACCATGAAGAAACTATAAATACACAGTGGGAGGAGAAATGGGATTTTTTTGCTGAAGCAGGCCTTGGCCCAAACCAGCAGAGGAAATGCAAATTGGAATTACCCCCTATCCCAGGAGTCAGGGAATGCCACTTCCATATATACAACTCAAGCAATGGTCACTGAAAGGGGAATGAAAAACACTACCTGCCTCAAGAGCAGCCTGATGGTCACAAAATCTGATTACTGCCCTCCCTGAAATCCAAGCCCAGAGTGGAGGTGGCAAACTCGGGTCCAGCCATCAAAATTTGCAAGAGGCAGTGCATGAGTTTACAGCTGAAGGCAAGGGCCGTTCTTGTATCTTCTGTGTGTGGACTGGATACAGCAGAGGAACAGCATTAACTGGCTGAACTCTGTGCCAGTGAAGAGCCTCCAAACAAGCTACCAGAAACTCCCAAGTTGCTTCCTGCTGCTGCTTAGTCCCTGCTGACCGACTGAACTCTCAACAACTTACAGATTGGAGTTCTCCATCTTCTAAAACTGGCCTGGAATTTCATTTCTACCATTTTAAAGATTAGTTTCCAACTACCTGTCCCCTGTATAGATGTTACCTATATGTAATTTGAGTGTCAGGGCCTATTTCCAGGATTACGGACACTAAAGCTTCACCTAGACAGATGCGTATCATTTCCTGCTCTCTTTAAAAGGAGCAGCTTCTTCTTGTCTAGTCCCCCACCAGCTTCACTCATTTGTACTCGCTAAGGGACCAGGAAAGTCCCAGGCTGAATCAGGGATTCCATTTCACAGGTTCAGTGAACAGATCCAACATTTGCTGGGGAGATGGAGGATTTCCAGCTGAGAATGGGTAATGGTGGACATTAGCAGTAGTAAGAAAGCAGGAGCAGAACGATGTCTGATCTACAAGGGCAGCTGAAGACAAGCAGAGAGCATACCAGATGAAAGCTGTGGCATGACGGACACTGTGATGGACACTGAGGACAATGGGAAGGTGCTGAAGGAATAGAGAAGACACACAGGGTGACAAATGCCAGGCCATGCAATTGCCAAAGGGGTCTAACCTGAAAGTTCTCAAAATGCATCAGGGACTTGCAGTGTGTGACCCGGGCAGCGGAGTCACTATGGTAGAATTTGTGACACAGCCTGCAGAGGTAACCTGCGACGGGGACCAGAAAATCCAGGCCTGCAAAATGGGAGGGGAATGGAAATCACAGATCACATTGAACGGAACTCCAAAACAATAAGAATGTTAAAGGGGAAATTAAAAAGGAAAGTTTTGCTTCTGTTAATTGCGGATTTTTCAAGATCGCTTGCTGAATATCTCATTTTACCACAGTACAGCTGTGGGCTGATATTCAGAGAGAGATCAGGTTGCCAAAGAAAAGAAACTACACAGCATAAAAAAAAAAAATACAATGGAAAACTACAGAGACCATATGACCAGCAGTAATGGGCTCAATCCAAGCAGAAGACAGCAGGCACGTGAGAGAAACACAGAGAACATTCACAGCATTAATCATTATTCCATCTGCCACATGATAGTGGAAGGTTACAGCAATGTGGAAAACTGGTGTAAACAGAGCTCTCCCTGTGCACAGAGCAGCTTCTGCTAGTGCATACGCCCCCGTGCCTTCCCCACAATGCGTAACTGGCTAGGAAAAGTTTTAGAAACCAAAATCTGAGCTGCTTACAGAGATTAGGGTGGTGACTAGAGAGAGCACAAAAGAATGTTCTGGAGGCAGCGCTGCACCTGAGGTCAGCAGCTTGTCTGTTCTGATCAGATACTAGTCTAGAGCGTTCATGCCAAAGACAGGCATGCAGTTCCATCTCCTTTGTGAAGTCACGGTGTGCTGACCTGGCTCTTCAATGCAGGAGAGAAGCAGCTCTACTGAGGCACCAGTTTTCGGGAGTGTTCTGAATGGGGCACTTGAGCTCCTCTTTGGGGCATCCCTGATCTAGTAACTCTGCTTTCGACATGGCTTGTTCAGCACTTCACCCTTTTGCACTGGCTCCTTCCCCACTCCACAGTTGTTTAGTCCTCCTAGATGAGGTCAAGGGTTCTCAGCCCCACCTCTTGAAGGGCAAGAGGCACCTGCCAAACCCATTTACACTTTGACAAATAGCACTTGCCTTACACTTACAATTCAGATGATCAAACTTCATCCCTTCTCCAGAATCCACTAACCTTCACTGGTCTGACATGGACACTGGAGAGAGTGCGGCTTACTGCTGGCAACCCGCTCTTGCGCTGAGGCCCACCCTCCATACAATGGCAGCCCCTGGCTCCAGAAGGCACTCTTGGGCACACTGCTTGTCTGGGTTTGCTTACCATAGGGGGTATCTGGACAGTATCTCTCATTTCCTTCACAGTCCTCCGGAGTCTTTTCCTTCAGCCCACCCTGAACGAGATACCAAGAGACCAAGTCAGTGCACGTCCCCAGCCTGCAAGGACTGTCTACTCGGGCTGCATCCATTGCTCAGCTCCTCTCATGGGCCTTTAATCCTTCCAATGAGCCTGGGGGCAAAGCTGAGGTCCAACATGGCAGGAAGGGGCTTTTGTTTCCTATTTTCCCCTTCCTACTGTAAAATACACCCCTTAATTGTGTCGCCATTTACTCCATGCTGCACAGGTTACATTAACAGCATAGTGTATGGGACAGATTAAATCCCAACACAAAGACCAACTATCAGGAGAACATTTCATTAACAGAGTTAAAAAACACCTTGTATTTAATGCCTGAGCTACATCAACTGTGTCCTTTCCATTGTTAGTTGTTCTTGAAGCAGAGAGCTATTTCCTCTGGAGAACACTTGCCAAGATGTATCCATCTGTGGATCCATCCATCCAGTTAGGAACAGGAGCAAAGCTGCTAATTGGTCAGCTAAAGCAGAATGGTTGAGAGTAAAGTCTAAACTGTTTTGCCTACCTTGACAAGGTAGCCAGGATATCTTCTTGCACATGTAAGGGCTCCCCTGTATCACTCATGGCGATCAAAGATCCTCCCACTCTTTGACAAAAAGCAAAATCAGATCTCAAAGTATCTTAGATAGTCCCCATCTTGTCCTGTGCTCTGGGAATGGACTAGATAAGCCTCCAGAATGCCCTGAGCTCAACTGGCCCTGACTGACTGAGCTATTAGGATCCAGCTCGGATGCTCATATAATACAGCCTTCCATTTCTGTTATCACTGTGTACCTGCTTGGTGACAGGATCTTCGCTATCTGTCTGCACCACTTCAGAACCTTCCTCTTCACCAATTCCCTCCTCCTCCTCTTCCTCTTCATCGTCATCATCTTCAAAACAGCCAACAGCATCAACTGTGATTAGCTCCTCTGAGTCTTCTGGGCTACCTAGCTCCTTCTCACCCAGCCTCACCTGCCAGACACACAGAGGAAAGATCAGACCAGACTAGATTGCTAACTTCAGGCACTCATATAATGTCACTCTTGTTGATTAGGAGGACTGGAGAGGACTCCCGGTGGAGTCTGGGACTGCCGCATTCTGGGACGAGCAGATGGCATTTCTAGAAAGCAAGAAGGTGATCATGCTCCCAGTCACACATACAGTGCTCAATTATCAGTCTGCTCCTTCAAGTGGTATTAGAATGCAGTCAAGGAGGAGAGGAACCACTTGATTGGAAAAATGATGCATCTCTTCACTGGTTTGAGACAAGTAGGACAGATGCATACTCCTCCCACACATACCAAGCACAGCCACTTCTGTAACCCAGCAGTGCTTCCCCCCAATCCAGTTCACATTACCTCCTTGGCCTTCTGCTTATGCTCAGGGGACTTCATGTGCTCTACAAACTTCCGAGGGGTCTTGAAGTGGCGGCTGCAGACAGTGCAAAAGGGACGGAGAGAGCGTTTGGCCAGCTGAGCAAAGAGGGATGAGAAGATCTGATTGGTTAAGACAGGCACTACTTTGTTTCAATTAAGCTTAATTTATACCACTTCTGTCTCAAAATCATGACTGTGAATCTAGAACAGTCAGGCCACCTTCTTACAGCAGGAGAGGGGGCATTCTGGCACACACGCTTCCACATGCCCAAGAGGTGGCAAATGTGTGGGAAGAGCAACGCAGAAAGGCTCTGGTCGCTCATGGTCTTGAAAGATCTCATGGCACTTGTCATATGAGATGGGGTAGTTAACTCTAGCGTCCTGACCAAATTCCAGCTTGGGTAATTACAGACTGCCTACCTAAAATTCCCCATGCAGTTGAAAATGATCAAGGAAAGAACCATGCTGCTATCATACCTCTGGCTGGACAGAGTTTAATAATAAGCAGGGCCTGTAGTAGTAATAATTGGAAAACAAAACAAGCCGCTAGTCCGTGCCAATTTGCTCAGCATGACACCCAGGAGTTCCACCAGCACCAGTGTGCAGGAGCCCAAGAAAACTAGATGCATAAAGAGATCCAACTAGAAATATCCTCATCACCACAGTGCAATGCCCCAGCGTATTCCCTCCATCTTACTCCCCTGCCTCTAAGGATAAGTGAGCATCTTATCACTTGACCTCCCGCTTTGTAAATCAGGGCAGTAATTTGTTACCTTATGTTCTTGAGTCCTACGATGTTTGATTAGATCCCCTGTAAAGTGTATCTGGCAGGTGTTACACCATCGCTGCTGGGTCTCTCTGTGGCGAGAAGAATGGTTCAGTAAGAGACTCCCTTGTGTTCCCCACTGTTTTTGCAGTTCTGCGCCATCTCAGCACTTACTGTGCTTTTCCCTCCATAGACTAGCTCCTCCACCTTTAGCTGGTTTGGTTTAATTCAGTCTATAAAAATGCACCCCTCACAACAGTCTGTAGGCTGATGAACTGCATTAAAAACTATAGTGTGACAAAGGCAGTATAGCTACCCTATAGGAAGCAAATGAATAGTTTTCCCAGAAGGGGGCTACCTGCTGGGGTTAAGGCCTAAGAGAACAGATAGGCCTTGAACTTTACCCTGAACACTGACATACACTGGCTGGGTGGGACCAATGCAGACACAAGTTCTAAAGTCAAGGGCCTTCAACTCAAAGCCCTGGCACCCCATGTTCAGAACTAGGGACTGCTGGCAAGAAGGTCCCAGCTGAAGTGTCTTGAGCATTTCTATTAGACAGTATCTGAGATCGGATATATGCTGTGACATGTATTCTATTAAAGGCCAGCCATACAGAGACACCTACCCTGTCCACGTCTGAGCAGGTCTCTCTTCACAAAACACTAAACATAGAAAGTGAATGCTGTTTTTACTGCTTTGGGGTTTTTCTTCACCCCCTGCTGCCCCCCCCGCTTTATGTACATTCTGAGAAGTGAGGAAGACGTGACAGTTTTACTTGTATCCAGAATTTTAATCTGTTTTTACAGACTTGTGCTTTGCAATGTTGGTTTTTGGGGTGATATTTTAAGGCCAGTAGGGACACATCAAAGGTATTCCTAAAGTTCGAAGCACTACAATATCTAGGTACTGACCTAGCTGGGATCAGCCCTCTTTACCTTCCACCTCCAGCATACTGACACATACCCATCTTTCTTAGCCATCAACGTCTGCTCCTTCACCATGGGCAGCAGTGAGACAAAGCAGACATTACTCATGTGTTGAATCTCTCCAAGTCGCTGCTGGTGTTGAATTCCAGCCATGTGGGACTGGAAATTCTAATAAAGGAGAAAATTCATTTAGATGGACTCAAAATTTAAAAACCCCCAACACAGCTGGTCAATTCAATTCCATTCCCTCTACTGATCTATAATATTTGGAAAGTTTAAAAGCTTAAGAGCATGGCTACCTGTGGATTAGTCAGCGCTGGAGCTTTAGGATGTTAGCTTGCAAGCTCTTTGGAGGAGTGGTTTATTTTATTTGTTTATTTATAGGCTTTTCTCGGCCTCTTGTTACCGTAGTGCCTGATGCCTTGAAAACATGTCTTATGGTGCAACATTTTTACCACAAGCCCCTGGTCATGCAATTCCTTCCCTTGGCCCCCAGGCCCAGACAGACTCCAGTGTTTATACCTGCTGGTTGCAACAGTTGGTCTTGCAGATGTAACAGAAGAATTTAAGGACAGACTCAGGACCGGTATCAGCTGTGCCCAGCTCACAGGTCCACTGTCCTGGCTTCAGGGCTGTGGTGCTGATAGCTCTGCTCTCACTGCTCTGCTGGATGGTCACTTTCAATGAGCCCCCCGAACTCAGCACCTACCATAAAGAAAAAAAACGAGAGTTTAATCTAGATGGGATCTTTAGGGGCTTCCGATGAATAAAGGGTTAATCCAATTTCCATAGCACCTGGAAAAATGCATTTAAATTTCAGTCAGTCAATCTCATGTCATTTCAAGTTTTATGTATGGGGGCCCTACCAAATTCATGGTCCATTTTGGTCAATTTCACAGTCAGTTTCAGCTATTTAAATCTGAAAGTTCAGGTATTGTAATTGTAGGGGTCCTGACCCAAAAAGGAGTTGGGGGGGGGTCACAAGGTTATTGTGGGTGGGGGGTTGTTGTACTGCTACCCTTACTTCTGTGCTGCTGCTGGTGGCAGTACTGTCTTCACAGCGGGGCAGCTGGAGAGCGGCGGTTGCTGGCTGGGAGCCCAGCTTTAAAGGCAGAGCCGCTGCCAGCAGCAGTGCAGAAGGATGGCATGGTATGGTATTGCCACCCTTCCTTCTGTGCTGGGTGTCTGGCCAACAGCCGCCGCTCTCCAGCTGCCCTGCTCTGAAGGCAGCGCAGAAGTAAGGGTGGCAATACCGCAATCCCCCTAAAATAACCTTGTGACCCCCCCTGGAGCTTCCTTTTGGGTCAGGATCCCCAATTTGAGAAACGCTGGTCTCCCCCATGAAATCTGTATAGTATAGGGTAAAAGCACACAAAAGACCAGATTTCATGGTCCATGACGCGTTTTTCATGGCTGAGAATTTCGGAGGGCCCTACTTATGTACACACACAGTGTTACCATCGCTGTGCTTGGTCCACAATCACTTTCATTATCGATTAAATTAGTTGCTGGATCTTCCAACACAGAGTCACTCCCAGGCTAATGTATATTTTTATGCTCACAGTTCTTAGTGGACCCTGGAGACATTACAGGCTGATCCAGTTATTGGTGACTGCAGTGCTCCACAGTGCCAGCTGGGGGGACACCCGCAGCTTGTGCTCCCCCATTACAGGCTGTTCAGCACTCCACGCAAGGATCTAGGCTGTAACGTAATTCCTTAACACAGTTCTGTCAGCGTATTGTCCTGTCCACATATAAAGACACCCCCACATTGGAACACAGATGTCACTAACCATGGCAGACAGCCACGCACTGGCAGAGTCGGACATGTCAGATCTGGCCTGGAATACAGACAGGGCTTTAGGTGTTGTTTTATGATTAAACTATTAGCACAGGCTCCCAGTCTGCAGGTGCATTTCCCTGCTGGTTCCAATAGTGTTATACCTTGCCCTGCTTCTCTCCAGTCTACTTTCTGGAGTGCCAAGACCCAGCTAGCCTCTCCCTCCTGCTATAATTTCAAACCATAAGGTAGCTGCCAGCCTTCAGCTCACTTCCCAGGAATGGTAGGGAAAGAAAGGCATGCTCTCCATCTGCTTTAACAGCATCCCTTGCAATCTCTCTACCAACTTTCATGTTTATCCTCAGTGATTCTACAGCCTCCAAAACAGACCTGCCTGATGGGGATGGCTGTTCCCCTTCCCAGACTAGGCTGAGAGAGGTGCCTCTTGGGAAACTCAGACATTTAAGAGCGATTTTTTAAAATTTTGCATTAAAAGATTGATTAAAGAAAAAAAAGAAAAAAACCCACATACAAAAGCCTGCCATCCTTCCAGATTAGTATGACATTTAAATTAGTCATAACTCCAATGGTCAGCGTGAGGGCAATACTGTATAGCTTCCAAGCTTTTAACAGAGGTGTAGATTTACAATTAAAACATTGCCACAATCTGCTGTAATTTAATTAGAGGCAGACCCTGCATAGAAGCTTCCTACAACAGCACAATGCCGCACCTGGGCCACTGATATTAACCCCAGAGCCAGGTGCCACTTGGTTTACAATCACAATGGAGATCTGGGTAAAGCAGATGCTTTGGGGTAGGGAGACATTCTGAGTACATTGTCCCTTTATGCTCAGGACCTGCCTACCGACCTCTGGAGCTTTCAGTTCCTCAGAGAAGCTTCTCTCCTTGGAGGCATCTTCAGTTGTATTCTCCCTCACACTGTTTGGTCCTAAAAACAGAAAGACCCTTTAGCTGGATTAAAACTAAACTCTGATAGAAAACCAAGAAACAGATGCATGAAGTCGGGAAGCTTACATCACCCCTGTACACAGATATTACCCTAGTTTCACAGGGCCTCAACCTGGTTTTCTTAGAGAAACTCCTTGCACAACAGGAAAATTCATCCCACTGTTCAAAACAATCTGGAAGCCCCTAATTTAACTGGAAGAGGGATAGCTACTGGGGCATATTCTTAGGGTGTTGGTCCCAGTATTACTCTTCCTTCACTTTTCATCTTTGGAGTGTGTTTTTGAAAATATTCAGGGTATCTGCAGACACCAAGACTATCCTACACTGAACCTGGTAGGTGTAATTCCCAGCTCTGGCAGACATACACACATCAGATCTGCTCCAGACAGTGTGCTAACATAGGAGTGGGGCTGTAGAGGTGTGTAGGGCAGGGGCTCAGGCTAGCCACCCAAGTACATGCATACTATCTCAGACGGGGTTATATTCGGGTAGGTAGCCCACACTGTTATTTTTAGTGTACTAACGTGTATGTCTACCCAGGCTGGGAATTACATCTTCCAGATGAAGTGTAGATGTACCTCATGTGTTACACCGTATCTCTAGCAGGAGAGAACCTACATATCCACACAACTCCACCAGCAGGTTGGGGACGCCATCGCTCATGTCTGTCATGATAACCCCTTACCATCTGCCTGGGTTTCCATGCTCAACTCCTCTGCTTCCTGGCTGCCTGCAGCATCCTCTTGTATGGGCACTTCTTCCACACTTCAATTAAAAAGAAAAAGAAAAACAAGATTATCTCCCATGTCCAAAGCCAGGAAGATGGAGAGGCTTACGCCAATACACAAGGTGGTGTTTAAACCACAGGCCAAGGAGTTCAATCTACAGTGTTCTTAATAATCAAGCAAAAACATTAAATCTCAAAAACAAGTTGATAATATTTTACTGTTGCAAATGATATTTCTGGTGATCCTCCAGCAAAACAGAACAAGGAGGGGCTCCATAGCATACACACAAATGTGTTTAAAAGCCAGCCAAAAGATCCTGAATCAATTGTTCAGGAATAACTGTCCTAACCTGATAGAAGGATGGGGAGAGGACTGCCTGGAGGTTATTCACACTAAGGGGTTCTGGGATTCATTTCGTGCCCTGGCTGGTGATCTCCAGGACAACTGCAACACGCACCTGTTCTAGGGATAGGGGAAGGTTAAAACTGAGGTCAGGAGGAGACCTTGTTGGTAGCCAAGCAGAGGTTTTCAGGAGTTCTGTCTCACTAAGATTTCAGTTTCGTTGAATATTTTCCTGACGTATTTTGCATTTGATTGCAGTGGATAATCAGTAGGTCAATAGCTCTAAATACCAAACTCTGCTAATAGGAGCTAGCTTTGGTGTTTCATTATTGCCATTGGTCTGATTTAAGGAGTGGAAACAGGCTCCTGAGGGGATTGCTAAGAATGAGTGACTGATCAGCAGAATGATCCGATAAAGCAGATTTCTTTCTGATTATATGTCAGCACTCAGAATTTTCAGCTAGGTTTTAAATAGGTCCTTCTTTCCAGGCCAGAACTACATTCCCACCTGTGACACACGACAGCGCACTCCGAACTCGGTAACAGCCTGCAGTCTGTATTAGGATTTAAACACACACTCCATAATTTAGCAGACTGATAAGTGATAAAGTAACTGGGTTACATGGCTATAAATAAACAGCAAGATTTTGACAATGCAGACAAGGGCAAAACAAGAGTGGCTTGTATTATCGTTATTTGGTTAAGTGTTGACAATGTGCTCACACACCCTCGACACACTGATGGAGAGACAGCTCCTCAGGGTCTCTAAGATCAGAGACCTAGAGGAGGTGGTGTCACTTTTTGAAACTGAGGCGGCAGCATTATATTGATACTTGTTACCATTTATGGCTCTTGTGGGAGGACATGGGATTTCAATGAGTCGAATGAAAAGGGTGGTTGCCTGTTGCATTGGGATAAGGAAGTCGTTCCAGGCATACGGACAGGGCAGAAGGCATGAAGGCAAGAGTGGGAGAATGAAATGAGGGAGCATGAGGGTGGGATCTTTGGCGGAGAAAGGGAGAGGTGGGAAGTGATAAGAAACAAGAGCAGAAATATACGCAGGGTGGTGCGGTTCAGAGTTTTGAAAGGGAGGTTTAGAACAGTAAACTTCATTTGTTCCAGAGTTTCATCATCAGGTCATTCTCAGATAAATAAAAACACTCTCTAAAGCTAATCCAAGGATTCAGTTACATACATAAGATACACAGTAAATCTGGTAGTCTCTAGCCACTGCTCAGTAAAGACTTAATAGAGTCACTGCAGCAGGGTCTCCTATCACTAAGACTTAACTATTTATTCAATTTATGCTACAAAACATTGATTAATATACACTGCAAATTATCAGCATAATTAAAACCAAACTAATTTGGCAAACGGATGAACAAAGTATATGGTGTAAGGAGTCAGCCTTTGTTTTAACTGCATTTATTCATTGTCTTGCTAATTCACAATGCAGCCTCAAATGCGGAATAATATTTTGCATTTCTATAACACTTTACATGATCAAAGTGCTATATAAACATCAGATCAATCCTACAACACCCTCCACAGAGATCTGTGTTAATCGCTAATCTACCGATGAGGAAACAGGCACAGAGAAGCGAAGAGATTTGCCCATGGACCACAAAGTGAATTGGTAGCAGAGAACAGATTAGGTTGCAGGAGTCCTCACTCTTCATCGCTAGTGCATATTAGGGAGCTTCTAATGCACTTGAACAGAAAAGGGATTTTGCAAATTAATTCACTTTGGAAAAAAAGTTATCAAATCAATGTAGAATAATTCTCTAATAATTCTTATTCACTCCCCTCGCCCTATAGATGCATAACAGTAACAGGTCTGAGCAGGATACGTTTAGAACAGCATAGACTACTTGCTGAACTGTGTTCCATATTCTTCCCACCAGATGGCGTCAGGACATTGCATGGTTCCTGGTTTAGGGAGCAGAGAATTTGCAAGATAGGCCTTTATATTGTGTGTCATTCCCCTCCACCTTCATTCAAATAATATCAGTTGCCTGTGTTTATTTATACCCAAGTGATATATGGATCCAGGCAACAGTGGGGCTCAGGAAGGGTCATCTTTGTAGCCTGTCTAGACATGGTTCATTGATCCATCTCTCTATTCATCATCTTCATGGCTGTGCCACTTGCAGCATCCTTGGACTTAGCAAGTGCCCTGAGGTTTCTTGAGTCACCCTGAGCACCAGAGATATTCCCCCCCAAATGCCAGAAGTCAAGCTGGCATTGTAGTGCTCCATTTTACTGAGAATATAGCAATGGAACACCAACAAAAGCAGACAAGCAATCTAAATCCGATGAGCATTTCTATGGCCTTTTCAGTGGAAATTACCTCTTCAGTCTCTTTGCTGCAGGCTCCATGTCCAGTATAGATTCTGCTGGCATTTTTGGTTCTGCAGGGATAAAGATAGATATTACCTTAGCAGAACATCTGATTTGATCTCCTACCAAATGGCCTATGTCAGATACAGTACTTTAGAGCAGATAAGAGGACTATAAAGCACTTGGCCAGTTCTGGCTTTGAGAAAGGTGGAAATGGATCACTAACTCAAGAGATTAGTAATAACCTGGGGGATGGAGTTTTATCTGTAGAGGTTACTGCTCTAAGCCTGACCCCTGAAGTAGAGATATGAATTTATTACTAGCCAATGGTTGTTTGGGTCTTAGTCCAATACCAAGGGGACAAGAGCCCACACCACAAAAATCCAATACTATACATTAAGGTCAATTATTAGACCTGTCAAACTGCTCAGTATCCCTGTAATCAATATCAGATTTCCACTGCATTTGAACTGGAAAATCATTCCTTTATGAGGCATTCATGGGGATACACTATAATTTGTGTGTTCTTAGATTGTAAGCTCTTTGAGGCAGGGCCCATATCTTCACGTGTTTGTAGAGTGCCTAGCACAATGGTGTCCCAGTAAGATTCCAGGTATCAACATGGAAACAAGCATCCTATTAAACAAGTCTGTTTCTTTAACATATTGGTTGCAAGTGAGTTCCACCTCATACAAGTTTTAGTCTATGGCTGCCGTGCGGAGTTCAATGCTGGTAAGGCAGCATGACAGCTATTGTTCCAAAATTATTTCCTTTTCTCATCCCACTCAGAGGTTCTTCTATACCAAAGTGACTTACTAGACAGTCAAAGGAACAAGTAACCTTATCTGAAACAGGCACCAGTGGGGAAAAGATGAAGGGGATTATATCATGAGAGTGCTGTAATGCAACAAGGAACGTTGCTCCTGCTCCACAAGAGGTACATCACGTACATCATCTCAGTAATGGATACAGCTTCCACCCGATTAAATAAGAGATATGGAGCTAGTTTGCAAAATCAAAACACCTAACTAATGGCATAAATGAAGCCCAGTGCAGGGGTTCTGACTGGAGGCTAAGCCAGATACGTTCGTCTTCCAGAAATCCTCTCTTGCGGTAAGCTGCTAACGAGAGATTAACGCCATCTCCTGTTTTTGCTGCATCAATATCCTAAAGAGGTTTCTTGAGCATACTCAGAAGATTGTGTTTTCCTACCTGTGGGTGAGGAGTTGTTCTGTTCTGACCCAGCCTGGGTACCCTCTGGAATTTCAATTTTCTCATCAACTCCTTGTGCCTGAGATGAGGATGTCTGATCCAGTTCTCGCTTCTTGTCAGGGCCCCTCTGGTAATCCTGCAATTAGCAAAGAGTCTCGACCCAGCTCTTTTCTCTTTCTCAAAACTCAGCACATCTCCCAAAGCTCCAGAGGTTTTATTGAAGGACCAGAGCAGAAATTCCAATACAAGAGAGCCTGAGGGTTTGTCTAAGACTCTCCACCTGTAAGCAAAGTGGATGAACAGAGCTCTGTACATGGTTTCCAGACTGCAGGCACCCACTGACACATCTCCAGGATTTTAATGGAAGCTGTGGCAGGTCCAGGGTACTTCAGAAACGCACATGCAAAACCTGCATGGGCTGGAATGAAGAAGAGCCCCAAATAACTACTCTTCCTTTTCTCTCTGGGCCAGACCCAACGAGAACGCTGATCTAAGACAGAAGTTCCAGTTAAAATGGCACTGAACTAGGTAACACAAAACCTGAGGCTGAAAGAGAGGAGAAATCTTGGCCATTTAAAAGAGACCATCTTCAGTAGATTCTCAGACAAATCTGAATTCAGACCTGGGGAATGGATTCAAAAGGAGGAGGAGGTGGGGATTAGTAGTACTTTACAATCTTGTAATACCTTTCACTGAGAATCTTAAAAGGCTTTATAAACTTCCATCAATTAAACTTCACAACATCCCTATAAGCAGGTATTATTCTGATTTTACAGGTGGAAAAATGGAGACAGAGAGATTAGGTGACTTGTTGATGGTCACAACGAGTCAGCACACAGCTGGGAATAGAGCCAAGGACTCCCAACCTCCTGCTCTATTTTTCCATGTTTCAGGCCAGTCTCCAGGAGTGCAGCCATGAGGTGTTTACTAGAGAAAGGACATGGAGTGAAATATCCTGGACCCACTGAAGTCAATGGCAAAGCTCTTAGGCTTCAGTTGAGCCAGGATTTCACACATTGTGTTGTAGTTACTTTGAGGTAGATATTTCTAAAGGTTCTTATTATTTTGCTATTTACCTAGAACTAATCAAATGAATCCTGGTATCCTAGGACAGGAGGGGTCTACTGGAAGAGGATGGCGAACTCCCTACCACTACAACTGGGATCTCTGGAAATGGGTTGGTTTGACCAAAGAGCTTCTACGTCAGCAATCTGGTGCTAAAGGATTCTTTTTTCATTCTAATCCTCCTGCATTTCTCTTTAGTGCCCCATGTACAATAAGGGCAATCATCTTAGCAGGCACCAGCCAGCAACAAATGAGAGCTAGTCTCTAAAGATCTGGAAATCACAAGCTCACCTTACGAAACATCCGATTCTGCCGCTGGAATGGAAGGCCTGGGAAGCCCAGCTGTGCGGGCTTTAATGAGACCCCGACAGGTGGAGGCCCCAAAAGGGAATGTCTTGTAGCCTGAGGGAAAAACTGTTGCAGAGCTGGGGCTGTCATGTTAAATCCTCGTAAGTTTCCTACAAATGCAAACATACAATATATCACTCCCATGTAGGGTGTGTTCATGAGACAGCAAACCCCCAAGCCATGATGACAGCCGGGAGGGGCAGAGCTTAGAGAACTCTGAACCTCCCTTTCCATAAGGAATGGATATCAGTAGTTGTATTTTGCTAGCCGGCTTCTGCTTCCCCCAACCACCCCAAAGATCTCACTCCATCACTGCTGCCATGTGGGGATGTGTTAGACCACTCAGCTGTTTATAATTGTTACTGCAAGCTAAGCTAAGCTCAGCAAGCTAAGCTAAGCTCAGCAAGCTAAGCTTGGAGTGATTATTTGATTCAAACACTGTCACCCATGTTTAAAGAAAGACAAGATCTTGTTTTTGCAAAGATTCTTGTGCAGCTGGCAGTTCAAACTGTGATCTGGATGCGTTTTTTTTTTTTTTTTTTTTGGACAGAACAGCAGCAGCGATTGGAGCATTTCATTAAAAACAGCGTTTTACTTTTTAAACAAGAGATTTCATAGGCCTCTCTGCCACCAGATTTATCATGCAAGCTCAAAATGATAAACTAAACCCAGACACTTAAGATGCTACCGTTTTCTATCATAATGTTTTGTCTTTTGAACAGTTCTTTTCAGCAGAGCATCCACCTGAAAGTGCTTTATAACTATTAGGTAAGTATCAACGCTTTCCAATGAAGGGAAGCCACAGACTTTAGAGCCAAAGTTTTAGAAGTGGCCTCTGATTTTGACTGCCAATCTTTAGAATACCAACTGCTTGATTTTCACAAGTACCGAAGACCCATAGCTCCCACTGAAGTCAATTTGAGCTCTGGATGCTCGGCACCTGTGAAAGTCAGGCTGTAGCTGTCTAAAGATGGACATCCAAAATCAGAGCTCACATTTTACATAAGTGACTAGCCAAAGGCCACACAATAAGTCAGTGGCAGAGTCAAGAGTTGAACCTAGGAGTTCTGACACTCAACAACATGCAAAAGCACCAGATGACCCTGGTATAATGTATAAAGGCTGCAACACAACACAAGGAATTCCCACAGATTTTAATTACTTGTCAATTATGCTGTGAAAAAGAAGATCTCTTCTTGTAAGGAGATCTATCTCAATTTTGAACAGAAATCTATTTGAAGAAATGGCCTTCTGTTCATGGTTTAGCATTTTTATAAGAACTGCACATCCATTTAGACTCAGAAGGGCATTTGTTCTTTCCCCACTTCCATTGATGAAACCATAGGCTTCCACTGAATTATTTATTCTGATGTTTCTCAGGCACTGAAATACCTGGGCATCAGATATTCTCACATGTAATCCAAACCTGTAAGTGACCACAAAAATTCAGCTCACAAGTATAGTCGTATTGTTCAGTATGGTCTTTATTACACATTTAAACATGAGACAATGCAGAATGTCAAAAATGGAAATCATAGATACTAGTTCCAGCTTGCTAATAAGGTGGGGATAATACTCCACCTCAGTACATTAGACTGGTCACTAAAACACCTTGTTCAAGTGGCATATCCAGTTTGTTTCAGATCATTGGACATATTTCTGTTTTAAATACAATTTGTCAATAAAATGTTCACCTTTAGAGAAAAGCCATGCTACTACTTAACATCAAATTTATCAGTCATCCTCCTTTCATATTTTTGCTGGCCCCAAGCTCTCTTCATCATACAAACATACATCAGAAACTTTAAAATCAGCACTAACTTTGGATTAGAGTTTGTCCCTTACTGCCTCAGCTTTCCTCGGCCAAACAAAGATCTCTAGATGGCCACTGGGGTCATGAGAGAGCATGCTTATTGATTAGGCAAGGGAGAACAAAGGGCATGATAACAACATGCAGAATAAACCTTCACAAACAAGAATCATCCCTGGTCTAGTTTTAAGTTAAGAGATCATTCAAATTAACCCAGGTAGCTTTTTCTTTGTTAAAATGGGACTGGCTGGTTAAAAATAAAAGAAAATACAAAGAAGTTCCTTACCCGCATTTCTAACACCTTACATTAAACTACAACTATTATTGGGGGCAGCTTTGTAAAACTGTCTTGAAAACTTATCAGACTATGGACAAAAATCAATCTACCTGGGAACCAGATGATGGAAGAAACAGTGACTTATTCCAAGCAAGTAGTATGCCACAAAGCTGTTTCTTAAAAATTTACTTTTCACTTCTATGCCCTTTCTTTTTCCGCTTCTCTTCAATGAGCTTGGAAAAAAGACCACCTAATTAGTTACACTTTCTGCAACACATTTGTTTGGGTTCACAGACAATGCAAGTGACTATTTAAATCCAAACAAAAATTATAATTGCTGTTTAATATATTCTCAGAAACATTTTTATTTGCCTTAGGCTTGTAAAAGAGAAAGAGTTTTACCACCATCTATCTTTACCGTCTAAACCACAACTTCCATATCAAATGTCGAAAATCCAATTTCTCAATTGCTTGGGAGCAACAACTGAAGAGCCTCCGAGACTTCGATTGGGGCAAATTTGAAAAAGAACAGTGCAGAGGAATGGAATCCCAAAGCATAGAGGACTCTGATGCTTAAACATGCAATATCCATTCTATGACTTCTCTCTCAGGTTAAGTGAGGGGTGAAGGGCTGACTAAATAAGTGCAGTGAGCATCTCCAACAATGACAGTACCTTGCATCTGTTGTAAGAGCAGAGTTCGCTGAAGCATTGGATTGGCATTGAGGAGTGATGCTTGATTCGTTGCCCGTAAGCTCAGCATCTGTTGCTGTTGAGGTGGTGGCAAACCCCTGGAAAAGAAGGGATCAAACCCTTAAAAAGCTTCCTGTAGAAAAATGTATCCTTTAAATTCACTCTTGTTGTCTCTTACAAGCACAACACAAGGAGCAAAGGACAAAAGCAATACTGATGCATTTGCATTAAAACACCGTTGTATGCATTAACATTGTATCCCCGTTCTTCCATCCTCCTGGAGCACCCCGTGGTGAGGGATTGTCCATTACAAAATTTTAGGTCTGCAACTTTGCCAGGTTTAAGAGATAGAACCTCTCAACACCACACACACAAAAAGGGTAATGACATAGCTTAAGGAAGTTCAGTAAGGGACTGCAGGTCTACAGACGAATTCAGGTAGCGATCAACTGCCTACATGGAACAACTCCTCTTGATTTTTAAAACATTTTCATCGTCCTAGTACACTACCCAAAATCCACTACTCCCACCCAGAGGCTGTCCATATGGTTGCAGTTGCACCTAAATGTGAGTGTTGGGAAGAGTGGCAGTCAACTATGACTTTCATATTTAAAGTATGGGCTAGAAGGAAAAGATGAGAGTAGTGGGAATATCCTGGGAATAGGGTTGAGCAGCGAAGCGTCAGTCTGGTTCAGGGGATTGAAGAAACTGCCATATATTACCCTACACAATTCTTACATGCTCTAAAAATAAGTCTCACTGCACTGCTCTCAACCCCACTACCATAATTTATGAGCCAATATTAATTTACTTACCCTACTCCTAGAGATGCTATAAATATTATGAAGACAAAAGCAGTTTTTTTTTGGGGGGGGGGGGAGCCTATTCAGTGCTGGCTTTTAAACCTCTTAAAGGAGAAATGCTTGATTATATCAGACAAGCCTTATGCTGGTGGGCACGAGTGCTGACATCACACACCATCACATCTTAGGCTGGCAAGTCAAAGAGTCGCTGAGAAAGCCCTTCAGGTGTGAAATTTACTTCTGTACAACATCTTCCTCAGCCCAAGCCACCCCACTTAAAATATTTTTTTATTAGGAGACCATTTGAATAAATAGACCGATATTCTCAGTATAGTGGGTCACCTTTTAATAATGATAGATATTTGCTGTATTGTGGGTCATTTACATTTATTTGAAGAGAATTTTAAATACTTTCCCATCCTTTTTTCTCTTATATTACCTTTGTAATAGAGAGGTTTTCAAGCATCTCTCAATAACATCTCACCATACTGATACAATGGTGGTTGTGATTTAGTAGCCAAGGAACTTCTTTTCCTCCTTACATTTCCCCCCTTTAGCCTTGAATGCCTGCTGCATAAAGTTTTAGACGAGAACAGTAGCACCTAAATGCATTATTTAACTGTTTCTGTAGTATATCTTCTATCTCTGATCATAGTGGGCAAATTTCCTTGACTAGAACTATGGTCTTCTCTCTTACATGTTACATGAGCAGTTTCACTCTTTATTGTCCTCTTTACTGCTTGTGTCTGGCAGACAGGTGTCTTGATTTGTCTTTTAATCCAAATCAAATACAAAGTCACACCCTCAACAGCATGGGGTGCAACTGCACAAATATCTGTGCTTATACACAAACATCACTTGAAAGACACCTTACCACATGTTCAAACTGAATTCAATAATCCCATCGTTACACTAACTAAATAATAATATACACATAATAAAACAAAATGTTTTAACCAAAAGGGAGTTGGGAGCCTGATAATATAGTAAAATCCATGCTCCTGTTTAAAAGGTTTAGTAGGACATTTATGTAAGTTGTAACAGGTAACATTTTCCTCTAGATTCCCCACTTTTAAACAACAATCAGCTTTTCTAGTTGGATTGTTGTCCATCCACCTTTTATTGATTTAAATTTGGACACTTTGACTCTACAGAATTTTGTTTTATATGATCTATCCTACACTATTATGTTTTACTTGCTTTCAGGTACTAGGATGATGGGATCAGAGAAATACTAAGGTGACAAGCACCTTAAAAATAGTATAGACACAGAGATTCTTAATGGGGCAGTGCCCCATCTGTTGCAAGGGAGGGAAGAAGCCTTTCGACATCCAAACTGTAGTATTTGATAACTGTCTGGTGCAATGCCAGATCTGGAGGAGCTGCAGCCAGCAGGAGCTTCCTTCGCCTACTGCCCCCTCGGTACAGAGCTAAGGAGGAGTGTTCTGGGCAGTGCCCTGATCCCCACCCAAGGGCCGGGCAAACCCTTTATTCCCGTTGCCGCCAGTGCTACCGCAGCTTCCAGGCAGACCCCTTTCCCAGCGCATGCAGACAGATGAGCCTCTTCAGCTGCCAGACTCACCGGGGGAAACGGAGTCAATTCGTGGCCCAGCTGCCCGCCCCGTGCCGGGCCCTTCTACTCCATGCACAGATCCCCTTCGCTCCAGCCGGGCTCCTCAAAGCTCCACACCGACCTCCCTCACGCCACCTCCCCAGGGCCCTCACACCCCTGCGCTGAGCCCTGCCCTTCCTCCCACCGGGCCCCTTGAGCCCTGGCACGGATCCCTCTCGCCGATGCCCCCTGCCCACACGCAGCCCCCTCCGCCGGCTGGGGTGCCCGGGCCGCCCCGGACAGGTGGAGGGGGAGCGCAGGCGAGGCAGGACACCAGCCACGCTCAGGCTTTCCTGGGGGAGGTCCCCGGGCACAGGCCCGCGGTCCCCGGCCTCGATTAGTCGCGCTTACCGGCCGCCCTGTTGCGCCGGGTGGTGTTGATGCTGCTGCTGCTGCTGCTGCTGGAGGAGGTGCTGGAGCTGCAGCAGCTGGAACTGCTGCTGGTTGAACATGTCTGGGGGGCCCCACGCCGAGCGAGCCTGGGACAAAACGCAGGAGAATGAGGGAGGGAGGGAGGGAGGCACCCGGGGGGGGGGGGGGTTCAGGCTCGGAGCAGCCGCTGAGCCGCGACCCGCCGCCCGTCCATTCACTCATCGGAGGGCCGCCCCCCGGGGTCACCGCAAGCAGCAGCCGGGGAGGGGGGGGGACCTTCCGGACCGCACCCCCTACAAATCCCTCCTCAAGGGGCGCCTGCGAGCCCCCTGCTCGGGTTTGCATCGAGCCCCTTCCCGGGGCACCGGGACTCCCGCTGCAACCAACCTGCCTTTACATTTCTTGACCGACAGCCTCCATCTTATTGCCCAGAACAATAACCACCTGCCGCCGCCGCTGCCAGGCGGCTCGCTCCGGCTTCTCAGCGCCGCCTCGCTGCACCGAACCAGCCCGCTCCCCGCGAAAGCGGAGCCAGGAAGCCGGAGCGCAGCGCTCGCTGTCGAGTCAGCTCCTTCTGGGGGCCTGGAGGAGCTGTTGCACCTCTTCGCCTTCCTCCCGAATCTCATTCAGCTGAGGGATTCCCGCTAGGAACAAGGGATTTTGCTGCGTGTTTCAGTGGGACACTTAATATCTCCTTCCCCATCTTCCTGGAGTCTCATTGAAATTGCCCCAGGGTGGGACACCTCTGCTACCGTCTCCTTGTCCTCCACGCAGCCCACAATTCGAAGTAGGGTCCCTTGCACACAAGCAGGGCTGGGCACCATCTGTTCAGGGGCTGTGGCTAGGCGAATGGAGTAAACTGCTAAAGGGGAAGCAGATGGGAGCCAACATCTTTTTTTTTTTTTTTTTTACGGTCCAGGGGAATCCTTGGTATCTGCTGCAGATGGTAACTGTCTCACTAAGGAAATGGAAAATCCCTAGCACTCGCTGTCAATTTGTTGTGGTCTGATTTCCACAAACTTTGCCCTGAGAAAATTGTCTTTCTGGGAAAAATGAAACTTTTGCATCATTCTTGTGAGAATTTATTTTTATTTACAAGATTTTCTAACAAGTTTAGGTGCTTTCTCGTGAGAGTGTGAAGCAAACCTTTCCTGTGGGTGTGGCAACTCTTCTAATGAACTCATTTGAAGTATGTGTCCAGTATCTGAGACCTCTAGCTGAAAGAAGTGCTGTGAACTCTCATTTTCTCTTTAGACTCAATCTAGTGGGACAATAAGACTGAAGTCCTGATTTTTTGCTGTTTACTGTACTAGGGAGCCATCCTACAATAATTATTCATTTGAAAAGCTCTTAATCGTATGAATGGTCTCATTGACTTCAGTGAGACTACTCACACAAGTAAAGACTTTTGAAGGACTAATGGTTGCAGGATTGGTCCTTAGCTGGCTTTTTTTTTTCCTTTTTACTTTTTTGTACTGTCACGATTTTATAATAGTCTATCTGGAGATCCTGACCCTTAATGGCTAGCTGTGTTAATGCCTAGCAGGGCTGGCCTTACCATGAGGCGAACTGAGGGGGCCGCCTCAGGTGCCAGACTGTGTGTGTGGGGGGCCACTAGGACCCAGAGTTTCAAAGTTTTGGCCCAAGCGAGGGGCACGGGGGTGTCATCTGAGCTCCCCACCCAAAACGTGGGTTGGCCCTGATGCCTAGACTCCTTAAGCCAGTCATTAATGGCTCAAAAACACGCTCCTGTTGATTTTTGTGGTTTAAGTTTTGTCCCAGGAAACAGTCATGGGAAAATTTATATGGAGTCTTTTTCACATTGCTCCACATAACTGATCCTTTTCCTCCACCATAATTACCCTACTGCAAAAACTGCCCTGGCTGAATAATTTGCAGTGGTGGAAGAGCAGGAAAAAGCCTTTGTAAGAAGATCCAGAGCAGTGATACACAGACCTCAGTGCTTCAGGAGCCAAATTAATGATCAACATTACCCCCAAAGAGCCACAGTAGTGTGAATTTATTATTTCATTTACTACAGTACTATATATTCAACACCTCTTAATGAGTAAGGAAACACATGATCATAGTAAAATCATCCTGATTTGGTTAATAACTTAATTAGTTAATAACATAGTAAAAGCATCGTGACTGGTTAATAATTAAATCACATAGTGTTTTAATATCATGTGCTGCAAAGAGCCACATTCAAGAGCCACTTGTGGCTCATAAGCTGCAGTCTGAGTATCAGTGTCCTAGAGACTTCGGTTAGAGAGGAAGGCTGACCCAGTAGTTTGGGCATAAGCCTGGGACTCAGAAGAACCAGGCTCTATTCCATACTCTGCTGCAGACTTCATGTGTGACTTTGGGCAAGCCATTTAGGATCCAATTGTAAGGGTATTTAGGTGCCTAGGGGGATTTTGAGAAGCACCTAAGCACTTCTGAATTCCCCAGTAGGAACCTATCTGCATTTTTAGGCACCTAAATACCTTTATAAATCTGCATGTGCTTCAGTTCCCCATTTTCCACAATGAGGATAAAAGCACTTCTTTATGTCACAGATGTCATGGGTGTTATGATGATAAATGACTGGGAGAGCTGGCAGTGACCCTTATATTTAGGGTTCTAAGTAGCCCCATGGTGCATATGTATTATGATACTCTTTAACTACATGATTACATACTGCTTTTTCCACAGAACACTGAGGGTACATCTACACTTCAGAACAAAACAAACCCAAACAAAACCCCTGGAGCAGCAAGTCTCAGACTCTGGCTCACAGGGCTCATGCTAGAGGGCTAAAAATAGCAATGTAGTTCCTGCTTGGCCTAGAGCCTGGCCTCTGAGACTCACCCCTCTTCCTGGGTTTCAGAGCCTGGGCTACAACCCAAACTGGAATGTCTATACTACAATTTTCAGCCTTGTAGTGTGAGCCCCAGGCAGCTGACCACGGCTACAAGACTCTTGGCTGCAGGGTTTTAGGCAATGTACATGTACCCTGAAACCTGTGGTGCCCAAGAAAGCAGAATTAAGATTGCAGAGGCCATCATACATTTGGCATTTCCTAACTTCTGCTTGACTTTGCAACTTAAATAACAGACTTTTAACTCACTCTTTGTATGTAATATATAAAAGATTGTGAGATGCTCAGATATTACAGTTCTGGGAGCCATATAAGTACCTAAAATAATGTCTATATAATAAAATTCCAGGAATGTCACTCCGTGTGACAGTCTGAAGCCTAAAATGTCTGTAGTCAGTGTGAAGTGATGGAAGAAGCTACAAGCATGGCTGAGGGCTCTTTTTGTTCAGAGTATTATCAGGTTGAATCATCTCTGGGTTTCATGGTCTGTTACTGTCAATTTTTAAATTCTCAGACATTTTGACTTTACAAATTGCACACCCATGCCACAGCAAGGCCTGTATCTACGCCATCGCTAGAGTCCTAGACCACTGTGATATCAGATGTAACTCAGTCAGAGCACCACCTTTACAGCTAATTTGCATGTAGTTTAACTGGTGATATGACACAGAAGTGGACTACTTGGCCCAACTGCCAAAGTTCATCCACACAACAATACAACCAGCACACAATAAACCCCAAACACATATAGCTCCTCACCGTAACACACAGCCCTCATTTGCCACCTACACAAATCAGCAGGAATTTACCAGCACAACCTCCCCTGCCCCCAAAACAAACTAACATTACCACCCACCAACCCAAACCCACACACAATAACTCCAATCACACAAAGCCCTTCCCTGCAGCACACATCTCTCATTTGCCACCCACATGACTCTCCAAGCTCAACACAATACACACACAAATCAACACGATCACCCCCACAACACAGCCAGCAAACACAGTAATCCCAAACATCACTCTGAAGCCTAGAGTGTCTGTTGAGTCAGTGTGAAATGTTGGAATCAACTACAAGCATGGTTGAAAGCTTTGTGTTTAGAATATCTCCAGGTTCAATCAACACTGGGATTCGTGGTCTCTTATCATCCAACTGTTAAGTTCTCAGCCCTTTTTCATGAGTTTATGAATTACACCCATGCGGCAGCATGAGCTTTCGGTTGCTAGTAATTTATTATATTATATTATATTATATTAGTGTTTATAATTATATTACTAATTTATTATGGTACAATAGACCCTAGAGGTCTCAATCAGAGACAGAATCCTGGGCTCCATTGTGCAAGGTCCTGTACAAATATGAAATAAAGAGCTGCTCCCAGCCATAAGAATTTATGGTCATAGGCCTGCAATTCACTGCATGCAGGTTCACTGCTGCACCCACACTGAACCTCCTTGACATCACTGGGTCTCTGCGCAGGCATAGTAAATTTCAGAAAATTATATGGGAAAATACCTGCCATTTTGTGCAACCTGGGACATTCCATAAATTGCTCTTTAGAGATACCTTTATTAACCTTGGATATAAATTACCCCTAGCAGGGATGGTTTAGTAGAATACAGAAAATGCTAGTAGAGAGAAGAGAAATCATCCCATTATTCTTTACTTCAGTTTGCCCACTGTAAACACAGAGGCTTAAGTGACCAGCCTAGAAAACGTGGTTAGGGTTCTTTTTCTTTCCTTAGCTCATTTTCATATACATATATATTTAGCCACAGCTGTGGGAAGCAAAATAGCATACCCCTGCTGACAGCTGAATGGTACCACAAATAATCAAACACAGCACTTGTACATGGGGAATTACCTCTCATCCCCAGTAGGGGCTAAGAGTTCTTTTGTGCTTTTTAATGATCCTGTATCTTGCTTCTATACTGCAAAACATGTGTGTATGGAGTAAATATGTGTCATTCCAGGAGGCTACATGAAAACTAAACAACTGTGGTGCCTCAGTAAGTAAACAATACAATATTTCTAATCAATCCCTTTGTCACATAAACCCGAGCACCCACAGGACTCCAGTTACGGTGTCCCCATCCTGTCTCACTGACCATGGCAATAAATTAAACAATTATGAGAACTAAAAGGCCAACACAAGAAAAAGCTAGAAAAACACCTGCAATTAAACAGACTAAAACCATTGAGCTGACTCAGCCACCCACCCTCCATGTGAGACAATTTGTGCTGCACTTCTATGTGATCTAGAGTACAAGCATGGGTTCTGGACTTGTGGGTCCTAATCTTGGCTCTGTGAAAGACTCACTGCGTGACTTTGCACAAGTTTATGCTCAAATTTTACTCCTGCTGGAATTCTGTGCCACTGCACAATGTGGAATTTGCACAGAATTAATGTTCCCCACAGAATTAATTTTTTCATGCAGAATTTGTGATTTTCACCATAATGATTCCTTTTTCCGGTTTTGCGTGTTTCAAATGTATTAGTTACGTGTAAATGTCTTTGCGCGCACATGACCCTACTGGTGCCATCCTCCCTCTTATATTCCCTGCCAGCCTGAACCCACCCCCCTCTGCTCCCACCTATCACTGCACATCCCAGCATTCCCACCCTCGCCTGGCACGGGGGGTGTACATACTACCTCTGGAGATGAAGGGGTGTTGGCTGGCAAACATGTAT